TTGTCTGGCTTAAGATCTCGGTGAATGACGCCGCGCTCATGGAGATGCTCGACCCCCATAACAACCTCTGCGATATACTTCTTGACCCAGTCCTCAGGAAGGCCGCCCAGCACCTTGATGAGAGAGGCACAGTCGCCTCCGTTGAGGTATTCCATGACAAGGTACAGATAATCCTTGCTAGAAAATGTCCAGTACAGCTTCGCAACGAAGTCGCTTTGCCCTTGCCACATCATGATGGCACGCTCGGCCTTGACATTGCCAACTTGATTTTTGGCAACCATGTCGGCCTTCTTCAGCACCTTGATGGCGAAGTACTCTCCGGTAGATTTCTTCTTGGAGAGGTAGACGCTGCCGAAGGCACCCTTGCTGATGGGCTTGATGATCTCGAAATCCTTGATCGACGGCTGCGACGACCTTGGCTGCGGCGGCGGTTGGTTGTTGGCGTTGAGACGAGGAGACGGCGGCGGTTTCATCACAAAGTCGGATATGGCCGCGGAAGACTGTCTCCTGTGATGCCTAGATGGGTGCGTAGTGGGCGAGCTGAATTCGCTGCTGGGGAACATGGGCGACGCCTCTGGGGAAGCGATGTTCTCGTGCGCCTGGGGTATTACCCGAGCCTTGATCCTAAGGGGAGAGGACGGCTGCGTCATCATCCGCGACGGAGATTCCTGCCGCCGAGGAGAAGCCGTATCTGGGATCACCAAGCTCCGCCTATGCCTCCTGGAGCTCGCCGCACGTCTGAGGTCGCTGAACTCGGACATGGGCGACTCGGTCCTGTTGGGCCCACGCGAGGCTACCGACGACGACCGCAAACTTCCCTCGCTTTCGCCAATATCGCTCTCAGCCGGGAGAGTCGACCCTCGACGTGAATCCCGAGACTGGCTCAAGATGCTTAGCCCTCCGGGGTGGGATCGGGGAGTTGGGCATTCCCTAGGACTGCTAGACCTAGTGGAACCCACAAAGGATGTTGGGCGAGAGCGTCCAAGCCCCCCCGACATGTCGACCTGACGAAGAGCCGCAGCCAAGGCAGAGGGGCTGGTCATGGTGTGCTCGAATTGTTCATCGCCACCACGACTCTGCGGCTCTTCCGCTTCGCTCCTCACTTCGACATCCTCCATGTACGGTATCTGCGACTCATCGAGTTCGTCCTCGGTGGAATCGCTGTAACGGCCCTCGGCGATGCGAGCGGCTTTCCTGGTAGCCTCATCGATCAAGTCTTGCACAAGAACTGCGAACTCGATACGGATCCGCTCCGCGTATTCGATAATCTGCCGATGTCGAAAGACGGCGTCCACCTTGGCCCGCGCTACCTTTTCGGTGTCCTCACAGAGCAAGGCCAGGCCTTGTTCTTGCTCGAGTGTGTTGGAGCTTGGCGACTGCCACTGGAGCACCTGTGAGATCCTCGATTCTGACTGAGGCGACTGGGTGCGCAGCTCCCAGTGGCCCTGCTGGGAAGAGCTCTCCTTGATGCCCGGGCAGCTGATTTCGATGGCGGTATCGCATAGATCGAGCAGGAGCTCAACAATGCGTGCCTGTGGCCGACGGATGGCGAAGGAGCGGGCTCTGGCGTGCCCAAAGCTGCTGGGCCTTTCGCGCGAGCGAGCGAGCGAAGTCCCCGGGGACGACTGTGCCGAGGGAGGAGGCCCGATCGGCTGCCCCTTGTATTCGGCTACCGGGAGATTGGGCGAGTCGCCGCCAGTCAACGATCGGCTCTTGCGTGACTCCAAAGCGTCGAGGACCTTGACGATGTGATTCCTATGTTCGCTCAGATTCTCCTGAGCCATCTGCACTTCCATTTCGGCATGGTGTTCTTGAAGACATAGGTCTGTGTGTTTTTCGAACCACCAGGGGGGTATTTGACGCTCGCAAATGCGGCAGAGGACCGGCGGCGGAAGCTCTGGCCCTTCTCCGTCCTCGCCTGCAGCTTCCGCTATGCGGGTAAGCATGCCGGCGAGGATTTCGGCTCCCGATCCCAGGGATTCGACAATCACAGCGGGGAGGTCGATTTGCACTTCGTGGGGTATCCATGGACGGATCATCCACATGGTCTAGGAGCATCTACCAGTTAGTAAACCGAGAGAGCAAAAAACCGAGGAGTGGCAGCACTCCTCGAGATGTCTCTCTCTTTTTCATCCCATCTGCTTGAAGTCGAGAAGCACCTACATGACTTTCACCGCCCGACGCACTGTCATACACCATGATACCCTGTGCCTCGAGATCGGCCACCTCCGTCGGTAAGGCTTGAGATGGATCAAGAGGCTGCAGGCTCTCCAGTGAGCGTAGCTTGGACAGAGGGCCCAAGGCGACGGAGAAGCGGACCCTGTGGCTCTTGGAGTCGTCCCGCTTCATCGACTCGACCACATCGGTGAAGATGGACTTGTTCTCGCCGACTATCAGATCGGAAATGGGGACGCCCTCAACGGACTCGGACGGCGTGCCCACGACATCGGTCCACGAAGGGCTCACCCACTTGATGGTGCCGTCGAGGTTGAGATAGGCAATCGCATTCAGCGTCTGCTCGGCGGCCTCACGCAGTTCCTCACGCTCTTCCCGGATGTCCTGGCTGATGGACCGCTCCATGGCCGTGGTCTGCTGGGCACGCAGCGACGAGACGGCCGGCGGGGCCAGCGAGGCAACGGGGGGAGTGGACGGCTTGTCCATGGCGGGCGAGGAGGAGGCAGCGCCGCCGCTGCTGAGGCACCCGGGGTACGGAGGGGACGGTGGCCGTTGCTGGCGGCGGTGACGGCGGGAGGGAGCTGGAGTTTTGTTCGGTCGAGAGACTCGGGGTCTGGCGAGGCGGCCAGAGCTACAGACCCATGGGGCTCGAATACATGACTGAAGACGGCCGGCGAAGGGTCACAGCAGTCGCTCTGTTTCCGCTCTTTCGGTTTCTCGCTCTCTCTCGATTCTCGGTCTCCGGTGGCGTGGCTTTGTGCACTCCGGCAGCAGGCAGGGCTGACAGGGTGCCTCGTCGAGGGAAAAGGCCGTGAGATTCGGATAAGGAAAAAAGAGATAAAAAAAAAAACAAGAGGATGCCCTGCAGGGGAATCCCCACGGCCCAGGCGGACGCAGCAGCCAGGAACGAGCTCGGCAGCCGAGTCTCTCTCTCTCTCTCTCTCAACACTCCAAAGACGACACGACACTTGCCGGACAGCTGCGAAACGACAGATTCGAAACGGCGACGGATTCGTCCGGAAGCAAACAGTCGCTGGCGAGGCACCACGCACAACAGAGACAGAGAGGCCGCAGGTCAGCTCACGGGAGTGGTTCGGTTCGTTTTCACGATGGCTCAATTGCCCAGGTACGGGAATACCTCTCTGGGAGCAATCGCCCTCTCTCCCCCCATGACACATTAAGCGGGGGGCCAGCGCCCGTGGGCCAATCACGGCACACCATCTCGCCTGGCCCTTTACCCGCCTGATCCAACCCTCCCAGGCCGCCTCCAAACTCTGCTAGCCACAGCGCAGGCATAGCGCGGGTTATAGCGCAGCCAGGCGCTGCACGGCGCTGCACGGCGCTGCACAGTGAGGCCTACGGGGGCATCCTTGGCGGCTCTAGCGGGCTTGGAGGGCTGTTGGAAGCGTCAACGCCCCCCATGCTGTGAAACGAAGAAGAAACATGGCTGGAGAGGGCGAGAGGCGAGCACAGAAACAAAGGAAGAGAGTTGCATGTAAATTGAAGTAGGGACAGCAGAGAACATGACCTCGAATGACGCCGTCACCCCTCCAAGCAACGCCCGCTCTCACATGGGATACATGCACAACATGCACATGGCACTGTTGTATGTTCATTGCCATTGCCGGCTTTGTAATACATGTACCTACCGCTTCATGTTGTCTGCGAGACTGCCCAGACCAGACTGAATTGGCACGGCACGGCACACGGCTGCTGCAACCACGCCACGTCACGTAAGCGGTGCGGTGGTCTCCAGCACATAGATACCTTCCATTACTTAATATCGAGGTCTCGTAATGGCATTAGTAACTGCAGCAGAATGGGCGTCCCGGGTGGCATCCCGCTGGATCGGACTGAGCCTTGAATTGCTGAAGCGGGTAATTGCTTGCCGCCCAGTCCTGTGAGGCTCAATCGACACTGTACACGCAGGGGCTGCTGTGCTGGGCCAACTGGCTGATCTCTGGCCAGAAGCAACGTGCGGGGCGAAGAACATCGATCAATCACTGGGCCAACGGCCCCAAGTTTTTAGTCGAGCATACATGTAGCATCGCATCGCATCCTGTGCTGTGCTGTGCTGTGCTGAGCTGGGCTGTGGGTGCCGTCGCAGTCGGCTGTCGTTGTGACGGCAACGGGGCATTCACCCGGAAGCAAGCAAGATGCGGTGGGCATGTGAGGAGTGGCGATGGTGAGGCTTGGGTGCGTTCGGAGAGAAACGCTCTAGAACCGTTACACCACCAAGCGCCATCGTCGCGCAGGTCTGGTAGGATTGAGCAGACCGGCGAAGCTGGCATGTAGTATGTAGCAGTACACCGTTGAACGCACAGGGCGATCCGTACGTGCATCCTTCGTATGAGGCACCCAGATCGGCAGAAGGGGCTTGTTTGGTCCTGGAACATGACCTCCATCTTCTCTCGCTCCCACTTGTTCCGACAGTGTGATGCTTTGTGATACTTGTACAGTAGCTTCAAGCTCAAGCTCCCTCTGCAGCTCTGCCAAAGAGCTCAATGGCCCTCTAACCGGCCGTCGTCACACCTCCCACTTCCGGCTTCTAGCGTTGAAGCGAGCGGCGGCGGGAATGACAGAAGAGACTGAGGATGGATTGTCCCAGAGAAGCAGGCCAATACACACTCGGCATTCGCACCGTGTGCTGCTAGGCTCTGCAGGAGCTGCATCTCGAAGGGGCGGTGCGTTTGAGATGCATATTCCACTAGACAACTATGTATGAGCAGCAGCCATCACAGGCACCGAATACCATGTCATTTTGCAGACTGCCTCATGTAGACAGACATTGAAGAACCGCAGCGACATCATCAGCACTTGTCAGAATGTACCGCTTCGGTATCGTGCGCTTTTGCCTCTCGCACGTTCTGTCGATGGAAGTCTCAACTGTATGTACTGGCAGCTGCAGCTCATGTAGAATTTGGAGAGTTCTCAAATCCTGAGTTTGGTCAGCCGCAGACCTGTCCGGTAAGAGTTCTGGTGTGTGTCTGAGGCTCGGAAATGCATGTACGGTGTCGACCCGTGATGCCTGTACCCTGTCTGTACTCGGAACGGCACGAGAAGAAGCATCGACGCTTCGATGTTCTAGGCTTTTGTACGAATACTGCCATATGCACGGGGTCAATGGCACATCACGGCACTTGCACGTCCTTGCGGACCAGTCGCTTTTGTGTCTTGTACTCAAGCCACTTGCTCTTCATACTAGTTGTAGGAGATAGTCAGGCCGCATACGGCCTTGACGTGCGGTGCCCTGTGGAGGAGAGCAAGTGCTGGACTGTGGCGATGAAGCCTCTGGGTGCGGGGATGGATGGGGTGGCGGCGATCCAGGTGGCTCTGTTGAAGCGGATGAGCCCTTGATCTTCAGACAAAGACATATTGTGTTTCTTGTGGCACGAAAAGGCGGTGCTTGGTTGTATTTGATGTAATCACAATGTCAACGCTGCTGCGCGCCTGACAACTGGACGAGCACTTATAAGATAGAAGCCTCCTGAAAACGAAACCCCAGCCGGCAAAGGCTCGATTGAGCCGCGCACCCTCGGCCTCGACTTGTCCCTGTGCCAGCTGTGGCTCATCATTGGCATGCCCATGGCCCAGATGCCCCAGCCCTGAATGGGTACCAACGGCAGCTGACGCCTGGCCAGGTAGTAGTAGCAGCACCTACCTGTACCTTACGTAGCATATGTTCCCGAGCGTATTGCCAGCGCCTGGATCATAAACACGTCGGACCAGGTTATGGTGATTGGCCGTACGACGATGGTCGAATTCGCCAGCCAGCAGGACGTCACCTGTACAGACGATTCGAGCTCCCTTCATGCGTTTGAAGATGGAGTGAAGCCACCAGCACACTCGGCGAGAGGTTGTGGACGAGTGCTCGCGGGCTACATTCGAGCTTGAGTGGGAGTATCATTAGACAGCAGACTAGGAACAGATACAGGAACCACAACGCCGTCAGCACTATACCGCGGGCATGTCTGATCAGCAAATTGGGTGCAATGCCCGGCGGCAGCATGGCAGATAGAGCACCAATCAGTTCAAGCACCTAGGCAACACGTATGAGAGCAGGAAGGAGTCTATCGCTAAGCCCCGTATGATGGATACGGGATTGGGGGTTTGGTCCGGAATTGGCCTCTGGCTGGGTGGTCAGCCAGTGGACTCACATGAGGCAGCCATGATTGTATTGAGAGAAATGCCCGACGACAATGCAATAAAGCATTCAGGGAGATGAGTGGAACAGGTGAGTGTCCGGGATGGACACCCCATATTATCGTCTGCAAAATAGATACTTGTGGCTTGTTCAAGTTGATGGCAATTCTCATCCTAGGACAGTTGTCAGACAGAATAGGTTGAGATTGGGACGGATAGTAGACTAATACTTCAGTAGTTCTAACTGAATAGGCCGACTGAGGCAACCGAATCTCAGCTCCTCAAAGGGGTCGGATCTGATGATAACACACATCTGGGAAACAATTCGATGAACCTTTCCGTTCCGTCCTTACCTCTCCTTGGACTTGATGGTGTGAGATCTCTCTATTACCGAGAACAGGGTACTCCGTACAGACTCAGTTATCAATCATCTCCATAGCCTCCAGTTCTCATGGTTATCAGATCCACTTTCACGACCGATGACCCAGAGCCGAGAAACAAAATACAACATCGGGCCACCTGCTACCTATCCGGCTATTGAAGGGCTGGCTCACCGCAATACGCTCTTCCATGCGCAATGTCTCACATGCTTGCATCCGCAACCCGCCACAATGCCCAACTTACACACTGTCTCGGTGTCTCAGCCACCAAGATGGTCCCCTAGAAGGCGCTCCATTCATTGTCTCGCAACCACCTGGCAAGCAAAGCACGAGTGAGGTGTACTTTACATGCAGAGGTAAGCAGTATAGACCCCTATCACTGCTTACTGATTGTCAGGGTAGCATTACATAAGGAACATTCCTCGCATCTTTCGGCACTTGGGGCCGTCTGTTGCGTGGGCAAGCTGACACTGGGTGGCCATTGGCGCGTGAAGAGAGTTTTGGCGGTTTGGCTTGAAGGGTACTTGGTACCCTCTTCTATTCAAGATTTTCGTTGTAAGGACTGACGCAAGAGGTGGCTTTGCTCGATGGCGGAGACGACCGTTTCTGGTTGTAGGAGCATTGAAGCTCCGAACTCTGACCACATGATTGGGAGCTGAGATGATAGCATTTGGAAGGTCGAGGTAAGGCGCTCCGTATCTCGCGGGTACCTGTACACGGGCTCCGAACCTGATATACGCGTACATGATGGCACCCCGAAACACGGACCCGCGCTTCGGAACAACTTTCCACTAGCAGCAGCTGCTGTGCTGCCTTTTGGCTGCTCAGGCAATCGGGCGTCCATGTCCTTGTCCATCCCTCCCAAGGCTGAGCATCTCACGACCCGTTCCGGCGGGCTCAACTCGATTGGATTGATGCAAGATAGTTCTGCCGGCGCTCCACAGGCTCGCCTGGTCTGCCCTGCAACTTCCGCTGGGCTTCCATTCCAGTCCCCTGCGCAGCACCCCCGTACAGGTACTGACGCGGTACCGCTAGTGCTAATGGCCCCAGGCCGGTGGCCCCAGGGCCCTCCAAGCCCCGTGGGAAGCACACGAACCCCGCTGGGCTCGCACGTTTCCTATCCGAGCTCCTATGTTGTTCTTGTTGCTCCCCCGTCGCATCGGTCGTTTTGATGAGCAGGGCAAAACCCGATTGCTGGGATTGGGATCGAAGCGTCCAGGACAAGCTCTTGTACGAGTGCAACCCAGCGCGGTAACGAGTACAGGCACGCAGCAATACTACGGTACTTGGCGAGTGTTACCGGCCTTGCCTCACCGGGCTGATTTGCGCGCCTTGCCCTCATCCGATTCCGTGTACTGCCCTATCTTACCTGTACTGTGCCTAAGGTTCCTAAGGTACTCAGAGACTATCCCGCACAGCTCCCGACCGACTTGGGCCTGCAGGTGGCACTACTTCAACTTGTACTTGCCTCTCAACTCGCCGACCCGAACCTTCAATTTCCCAGACTGCGCCAGCCTCAGACATTGATTCCTACACTTCTCACAGTTCTATTCAGATTGCTCTCTTTCCACTGCCTTACCTAGGTACTCAGGCACGGTTTGACGATTGTGTCTCCTCTGTTCGCTATCGAAACGGCAAACGACAGCTCGACTCTGCTTGGCCGTACCTTATCGCCCTATCGGACCGTGAAAGAGCGCCGCCTCCAGCAGCCCGCCAACATCTCACCTCGATTCCACGAGCTTCATCCCCTCGCACTCTCATCATCGCCAACAGAGACCTCAGCAGCTCAATCAGCGACCTCACGCAACTGCGGCCACCTCGCCCAGACACGTCGGCAGCTGGACATCGCTGAACCGATCAAGGTACTATGCCTCCCACCCCCTACCGAGCTTCTCAACTCCGACTGCTCTTTTGTGCTTGGGGCTTGGTTTTGCCACACCGTGGCTGCCACCCCTCGTCGGAATCTCACGTCGCACAGTGGCTTACCCGTTCGCAGCCGGCCATATTTTAGCATCCAATCTCTCGCGCCTTGCCGCAGGGCAATTGGACCTTTCTCACACGCTTCGCACAGAGCACCGCTTCGAAGCATCGCGAGTTGCCATGTCGTCATCGCTATCTCCGGAGCACGCCGAGGGGAGCACCTCCCGGGCCTCCACTGAGGGCACCGACAAGGGCGTCCTGTCGTCGCTGAACCTCAACTTCTTCAAGTCCCTGTCGGACAAGAAGGTTACTCGCAGTAAGCAATCCCGACATGCTACAACCCCGGCGGCATGAGCAGGACTGGCCGACTGATTACTTTCCTCCGCGCCTCCAAAACAGCTGGGAACCCGCCTAAGCGACGTGGACCAAAGCCAGACAGCAAGCCTGCCCTGACCCGGCGGCAGGAGCTCAACCGACAGGCTCAGCGGTAAGCATATGGTCAACAACCTTGCGGGATAATCCGGAGCGTGCAACAACTAACGAGCTGTTGGTCGTCCACAGTACCCACCGCGAGAGAAAGGAGCTGTACATCAAGGCACTGGAAGATGAGGTCCTCCGGTTAAAGGAGGTCTTCAGCACAATCTCCCAGGATAAGCAGAAGCTGTTTGACGAGAACAAGCAGCTCAAGGAGATCCTGTCTCAGAGAGGCATCCAGCTTCCGAGAGTGGGCGGCGTAGACGAGTCGAGCAGTGTCACGCACCCGATGAGTGTAAGTGCCTCGGGCAACAGCTTCGCACATGGCTCCCAAGGCGGCTTCTCGCCAGCTGGCACGTCACATTCAACCTCCATGTCCATGTCGCCAGACAACCGCCAGCTGTCGCCCGCTGCCACCGGCGCTGATCTGGAGCAGGCTGGCATTGACTTCGTCTTAACGTACGAGAACTCCTCCGCGAAGGCATATCTTTCACCTCCCCCGCAGTGAAAGCCTCGAGAGAGGCTGCCACTTCACAGCTGCGCGAGCCAACACTGTCGGGGAACTGATGCGCAAGGGCCGGTATGCTAACGGATGCGACTTTTTGTCGAGGCATCAATTTGTAGGCTCGAGAGACCTTGTATGGCGCACATGCCATTTTTGGTTGACAGAGCGAGCGACGCCGACGGCGCGCCGTGCGGCCACGCCCTCATGGCGTCCTGCCCTCCTACGCCCTTTCAAGACCTGACACCGGACACTCCCTTCGGCCACACGCACACGCACCAACACGGCGGCGGCGATGAGCTTCCTGCACAAGGCACGTGGGAGCTCAACAAGGCCGACCTGACCACGCTGCTGGATCTCAGTCAGAAGCTCAACCTAGACGGGGAAATCACGCCGGTCATGGCATGGCGCTTGGTCATGTCGCACTCCAGGTTCGCCGAGTTGGCTCCGTGCGACTTTGAAAAGATTTCTGGGGAGTTGCTACGAAAAGTCAGGTGTTATGGGTAAGTCACAACCGGCCTGGCGCTTTGTCCGGTACAATGACCTCGGCGTGCTGACCTTGACGCACAGCTTCGGCGCTGTCATGGAGGAGTTTGAACTGCGGGATGCGATTGAGAATATCTTTTCGGGTCGCCCCGAGGCAATGGTCTTTTGATCAACTGCTACTCTTCAAATTTTCGCATATCTCTTCGCGTCGATGGGGTCATCGCATTGGCGGTTTGCATTTTGGTTTCCCTCATTATCCAAGGTTGGGTGGTTTGTGTAAAGGATTGAGGGCGAAGCTTGGCTGTGTCCGACGCCAACGGCGGCTGTTTGTCTTTTGGGTTACGCTGTCATGATGTATATAATAATGTCTCGCTCTTCAAATTCAAGAAAGAAAAGGGGATTTCAGTATCATACTGCGATGGAAGATTTCCGTCCAAATACCGGATGGATGAATCTCATCGATTTGACAGACAACTTCCAGTGAACGAATGAAGACGACGGAGTTGTGGCTGAAGCAAGCTACAGGCGATAAGATAAGGAACTGTGGCAGTGCGTCCACTTGCGCGGGGCTTGGAACTTTTTTCGTTAGGCTGCTCCACACCCCACCACAATTTCGATTCATTGTTGGAAACCAAATTCGTCCCCGAGTTGCAACGGCGAACCATCACGAACACGGCGAAAATCCTCTCTCTTTCCCGTCTCCAGGCCTCCGAACTCGTTGCCTCTATATCAAGGTCGACGAGAAGACGACACATAGAAGAGAGTACGAGAACCACCGCCCAACATGGCCGACTCTCTTGACTATGTCAAGATTTGCGAGAGCTGTCCTCCCGGGGACGGCTGGGGTCCTCCCGTGACGAACGAAATCACCCTCAACGGCGTTCCCTATGCGCCTTTCTCCAAGGGCGACAAGCTGGGGCGCATGGCCGATTGGACTGCCGAGGGCAAGGACCGTGAGCGCGGTGGACGCCTGCAGTACAGCCGGCAGTATAGAGGTACAGTGGCCCATATATCGAGGATCATGAATCTTTTTCAGATGAAGGACGAATTGCTGACGAAGAGATGATTCGCAAAACGGAACAGACCAGCAGGTGTACGGTACCGGCCATGCCGTTGTCTTCAACGCCCCTCCCGCCGAGGACGAGACCAGCTTTTCCGTCGTCAGCAACACCAGAGACTCCGCCAAGTCAAAGTTCGGCCGCGGCGCCATCTTCACCCGTGGCCGGGGCCAGCGAGGCGGCCGAGGCGACACCCGTGGTGGACGAGGAGGCCAGTTCCAGCGAGCCCCTGGCGGCCGACAGGGCGGCTACGGCTATGACCGCGGTGGTCGGGGTGGTGCCGGTGGCCGTGGCGGGCGCCGCTTCGGCTGGAAGGACTACGACAAGCCGGCGCGCAACCGCGATGCCAGCATCAACATCAAGGCCGACTGGGAGCTCCTCGAGGAGATTGACTTCAACCGCCTGTCCAAGCTCAACCTGGACACTGACGATGGCGAGGACCTGGACGACTACGGCTTCCTGTACTACTACGACCGCTCGTACGACAAGCAGCCCGTCAAGGGCTCGGAGAGGAAACTGGTCGCCATTGACCGCGCCGCCTTCAACGTCACCACCTCCTCCGACCCCGTCATCCAGGAGCTCGCCGACAAGGGCGAGGCCACCATCTTCGCCACGGACAGCATCCTCTCCATGCTCATGTGCTCCACCCGCTCCGTCTACCCCTGGGACATTGTCATCACCCGCCAGGGCAACAAGATCTTCCTTGACAAGCGCGACAACTCCAACCTGGACATGGTGACGGTCAACGAGAACGCCGCCGACGCGCCGCTCGAGGCCGCCGACGGCGGCAAGGACCTGATCAACCAGCCGTCTGCCCTCGCCGAGGAGGCCACCTACATCAACCACAACTTTGCCAACCAGGTCGTCTTGGAGACGGCCAAGGTCGAGATGAAGCACCCCAACCCCTTCTACAACGCGTCCGAGGACACGGACCCGCCGGCCAGCAAGGCCTACAAGTACAGGAGATTCGACCTGTCGACCAACGAGGAGGAGCCCGTGTACCTGATTGTCCGCACCGAGGTCGACGCCGTCCAGAAGAACAGCATCAGCGGCGAGGACCAGCACCTGACCATCAAGGCGCTCAACGAGTTCGACAGCCGGGCCCAGGGCAGCGGCGGCGCCCTCGACTGGCGGACCAAGCTCGTCACCCAGCGCGGTGCCGTTGTGACGACCGAGATGAAGAACAACAGCTGCAAGCTGGCCAGGTGGACGACGCAGAGCATCCTGTCCAAGTCCGACGTGATGAAGCTTGGGTATGTTTCTTCTCCTGTCAAACCTCAAATTATACCTCCTCCCTTCCGAATTGACAGTTCTTGCTAACAATTAAAACAGCTTCGTCTCGCGCGCCAACCCCCGATCCAACGATAAGCACGTGATCCTCGGCGTCATCGGCTGGAAGCCCCGCGACTTCGCCAACCAGATGAACCTGTCGCTGTCCAACGGCTGGGGCATCGTGCGCACCATTGCCGACATGTGCCTCCGGCGCGACGACCAGCAGGACGGCAAGTTCGTCCTCGTCAAGGACCCCAACAAGGCCATCCTGCGACTGTACCAGGTGCCCGCCGGCAGCTTCGAGGACGATGAGGAGGAGGGCGAGGCCGAGGTTGCGGAGGAGGAGGCTGAGGAGTAAAGAGGGAAATCTTTGACGAAGAAGATGAAACCAAAGACATTGACTTGATGAAATCAAAATGTGGTGCCTTCTTTTTTTTCCTCACTCCTCTTTGAGTATCATCCGTCCGTGTCCCCCGAACTTGATTTCTCTCAGCCCCTTAATACAAATAGGTGAACTGGCTTGGAGAATTGCTTCAAATAAATTGGGGAAATTTCTCATGAATGGATGCATAGGCTAGATGTGGTTCTCATTTCAGGAGCAAGGTAGCTTTCTAGAAATGGGGCAAAATGAAGTTTTATATATATACAAAAGTTCTCCTTCCCACTTTTACTCTCTCACTCCCCTGAATTTTCCACCATGTTTATGCCCTTGATAAGAATAAGTGAAGCCAGTCAGGGATCTCTTCTCGAAGAAAGAAACGAGAATCAAGAGAAGACTATTCATGAACGGATGCGTAGACTACCTAGATGTTGTCTCATTTCAGGAGCAAGGTGGCTTTCTAGAAATGGACGAAACGAAGTTATATACCTACCTATATACAAAGGTTCTCCTTCCCCCCCTTTTCTCTCGACTCTTCTGGAGTTCATCTTACGTCTGTGGGTTTGTATTCTTCACCTGCGTCATCTGCTCAATCGCGGCCCAAATATCAATCATTTCGAGAGAGACTCAGCTCGATTCTTACACTGTTTTTCTATTTCTTATTTCGGTCCATCCATACAAGTACTCTGACCCATCCCGCCCCGAAATCAAAAAGGTCTATCCCCTCGTCCCTACCTATAGTAGTAACCAAGCTCTCTAAAGAAGCAATTCGCGGCTCATCTATCGTGGGTATCCCGTTCGCCTTTTCGTATCCTCCCCTCGACACAGTCTCTAAAGAGGGAAAGCCCCAAAGCTCCTCACCCTTGTCAAACCTATCAAAGAAACCACAGCTGAGAAAACAGCAAGCAAGAAGAAGACCCCCCTTATCACCCCAATGTCCGATTCAACAGCCCCTGCGCTAACATTGAGCCTATCGCAGATAGCGAACCCCAACCTCGTGCAAAAAGTCCATCAACGGCACCGACTTTATCGACTCGTAGCCCATATCCCACAACTTCCGCTCCTCCTCGCACAACCACTCCCTCGCGGCATTTCCCCTGGGCGACAGACCCAGGCAAGCATTGGCGTAGTACGCCGCGGAAAGGAGACGGCGATACCGGAAGCCGGCGTCACGGTCCTCGCCGATGAAGTCGGGAGACGCCCATACGGCCTGGAGTTCATCCCGCAGACACTGGTCCAACGGCTTCCCGAACGACGCATGGTTCGCACGAGCTGCGTTGGCGAGGCCGGTACCGAGGGAACCGACGTACTCGTTCAGAGGCCACGCCTCACTGGCGACGGGCTGGTCCTCGTGGTTGTGGAAGCGTTGATGAGAACGGCTGTACCTCTCCGAGGTGGCTTGGGGTGGGAAGCTCGGGAGCCTACCGCTGAGCAAGGACGCGATGGAAGGAAGGACAGGCCGAGAAGAAGCAGCAGCTTGCGAGTAACCATCTGTATGAGGGACAGGATACTGAGATTGCAGTCTTGTGGCGGGAGCTGCATAAAAAGGGTCTTCGTCCGAAGACGTCCCGTATTGCCCATGGCCGTCATCACCGTAGCTCTGTCGTACGGCAGGGAGTCTTGCTTGATTGAGGTTCTTTGTCTCCGGTAGATAGCGGGCATCGTATATCGGGGGCATTGTATCCTGTTGTTGAGCTCGACCGGCAGAAGGATGGTAGGCTTCCGTTGCCACAGAAAGCCGCGGCTCAGGGGCAGAGGCCATGGAACCAGCGCGGCCATAGTTTCGATATTGGGACTGGCCGGCTTCTGCTCGATATACTACCTCACTGTCAGGAGTCGAAGAAGCCCCATCCAGCATCACCCCAGGAGGAGCCGCGCTGCCCCTTGCTTCACTGGCAGCCGACGGCTCGCCACTTGGCCCTCGTCCCGGAACTCGTCGTTTGATGATGATCTTCTGTCTCTTGGTACCCTTTGGCGGCTCAGGCTTGCTCTCGATAGCACGGAACCGCCTTTTCCGAAGGCTGGGCTGCACATCCCAATCCACGACCGCAACGTCAATGGAGTGTCGACGATCATTCTTCAGGCGGTCTCCGAGGCAGCACCCGTGACAGATGGAGAGCTTGCAGACACGGCACTTTTGCAGCGTGCCACAGCGCTGCTTGTGGCAGAGGTCGCACTTGGCCGTGGGCACGTTGGACGCATCCCATCCGCGGTGAGCAACGTCGAAGCTCGGGAGGAGCGGCCGCGCAAGCTGGGGGAGAGCATCGGATGGCCGAGAAGCTTGACCTCTGGGAGGCTTGTTCTCTTTGTCCGAGGAGCTGGCGGAAGTGCTGCTGGTAGGGAGAGGGATCGAGAACCCGGATGACTGCTCGCCTTGGCTCGAGGAGATGGAGATGGTATCATCGTTGGACGTCGACATTGTTGGGTTGGTGAGTAAGGTTGCCTTCTTCGTGACTGCACGTCTGTTCAGAGTGATGATGGTGATGATGCTTGCGACGATACCGAGTATTCTGATATTCTGATATTGCACTATCAGCTGAACAAAAAGACCTGGAGCCCGAGGGCGAGATGCAAAGTACGTGACGATCAAGGCCACGTATAATCACCAGAAACACGGCAAAGAAAGAGGCGAGGGCAAAGTTTGAGATGTCGTGAGAGAATATGGACAAACCTGCACAGTCAAGGAGAAGGAAGGAGGAGGGAGGGAGGGAGGCTTGGTTAAGTACACGAAAGGGGGGAAGAGCGGCCACGGGGCTTTGAAGCAGATTTCTGGAAGCCCAGACGCTTCATTCCGTGATACAGGATTCACTGCTGGGAGTAATTGAGTAATTCCCCGGGTTCGAGAAGAAGAGTCTTTGTTGGTGGAGAGAGACGGGCGGTCAAGAATGGGGTGTTTTTTGTGATTCAATGTTGGGGAATGAAGCACGGGTGTTATTGGGGGGAGATATTGTGAGTACCCTATGAATGAATGAAGTGCAGTGTTTTTGAGGTGCTCCGTTTGGTGATGCGTTCGATGTGGAGACTCGGCGTATTGTGTTGACTGAAGGAGGAAGCGGATATGGAGCAGCTGCCTATTGATGCGTTTTCTGTGATGTTTTGGCAGTGAATCAGAGCTGGAGCTGGATGGCTTCGAGCACGCGCCGAGGCTGAAGATGCCAGGAGGAGCCACGACGAAAGAATGTCGAGCCTTGTTGTGCTATCAAGGTAGCAGATGTGTAAATGACACGACATGTTGCACAATAATAGGCGGTTTCCTCGATCATGTTGATTCTGTAACTCGACACCTGCCAGCATCAGATGATTCAAGCTCCCATGAAATCTTGCGTATCACGAGCAAGACGGCATGCGCCGAGGCTATTCCGAGTCTTGGCTCCGAGATCTCGACACGGGCAAGGGCATTGTTTTCTTAGTGCAGTCGTTACAATTGCAAACGCACGACCTTTCATCTGGATCATCGACTGACATGCTCTATGTCATGTCGTACTGACAGCGCGCCAAGGTACATCAGAATGATTGCCGTCCATGTCAGATCGGACGAACCCGCGGCGCTTATAATCTCCAGTCTGCTTCTGTGCTACATACATAGTTCAATGTTCTATCATGCACCTTCATTGGGGGGGGGGGGGGGGGGGGGGGGGGGGGCTGACGTCCGCCCTGACGAGTCGGCGCGGATCAATAGACGGAAGCTTCTTCAGCGCCTAGTCGAAGCCCATGATGAAGGGCTGCGCAGATAGTCTATCCATCTTCTCCGCTTCCAAGGCTCTGTTGCGTACAGCCGACTGGCAGAGAAGGGGATAGAATGAGGCATCGGCGGGCAGAAGTTGGGCCGATGGGGGAGGGAGATGGAATGCGCCACGCACCAAATGTAAGAATCATCGATGACCTGCCCTGCCCTGTGCTCGCGTTGATTAGTACGAAGTGGTTTAGATAGTAGTAGCTACAAGTCCCAACGAGCATTTCCATCGTCAAGTTGCAAGAGAGAGCAATCCTCAGTGAGGCGTATCTACCAGATATGCACGAAACGGTGTCGTGCTGATCATGCGCTGCCCGATAGAGCATGAAGCTGACGCAAGCATCAACCACCTTATCTTGAAACCTGCAACATGTTTCTCAAACAGATGGCAGAATCTACATAAAGCAAATCTCGCACACGGCCGCCACAGCAAAGCCTCGTCAGCGCATCGTGCCGAGCCAGTCCAATGGTAGAACTAACACACCCAACGGACAGGGGTGGTGGTGCATCGGGCGACGCTCAGCCGGAATCACGGCACGCCAGCACACGGACATTAGCCTTCTTCCGTCTTCTGCAGCTCTGGAAGATGGAACAAGAGGAAGAAGAAGCCGAAGTCCAACAAAGCCGAAACAAGGGTGTGGCTGAGATGATGATGCTCAGGGCTTCTTGATGGATGTACCGTCAAGTACCGACGAGGCCGCCCAGTCTTCATTTCCCGCTTCCTCGTCGTTTTGTCTCGTCATTATTTCCCGGCTTGGGGCTGGAGATGCATGTCTTGAGTAACACAGCACTGCTTGTGCATTCATTCCCTGGCATCGCCATCTCCAGCTTCATCAAACAGCCGACATCGCCCTCGCCTCTCACCATACTATCCTCCTCCCCCCCACAGCCACTCCAACCCGCGGGCCTCTCTCTGAAGCCCAGGACAGTTGAGCACCAGACTTGACGCCGAATCAGCACAGCCCATGGGTCATCCATCATCATGGCCCAAAGTGCCGTGGACCCGGCGCTGGGCATGCAGGTGCTCCAGCCGCTGTGCCTCACAGGGCCCAGGGCCGTCCACAGCACCGTTGGCGCTCTGCTTCAGTGGGCGCTTCTGCTGGGACAAGTCGCACTGATGAACCGCCACAGCCTCCCTGCTCTCCACTGCCGAGCAGCTGATACCCACTCCAGGCCGCTATCAAACGCTGTAGCCAAGACGGTAGCTTATGCTCGTAGCTATTTCCTGCCCTTCCTTCGCCTTGCGCATTGCTTCGAGTTCCATCAGCAGTAGATTCAATTGGAACCTTGCCGGTACTTGGCAGTACTCCGTGACCCGACGTTTCGTACCCGTACCTGCGCTGTGTCTTTTCATCCTCCAGCTCCCCTTCCTACTCTAATTTCCCATCCTCTCTCTCTCACACACATTCTTCCATTCTCCAACAAACCACCTTCACCCTCGTTTCTTTTCTTGTCTTTTTCCAAACCTTCTCTTTTGAAACTCTCTTTTCTCCATCCAAAAACCTCCGTCGCAGCGCGATTCCAAATCCGATCCCAGCACCAACAATGTCCAGCCAGGAATACTATCAACAGGGCGGCTACCCTCAGCAGCAGCAGGGCGTCTACCCTCCGCAAGGCTACCCTCAGCAGGGCTACCCTCAGCAACCCCAAGCTGTAAATACTCCTCCCCCTTTTCGCTCTATCTCTCTCTCTCTCTCTTCCCCAGATCTCACGATCTCGATCGATTCCCGATTCCAGCAGCTTCTTCCAGCACAAAAAACCGTGGAAACTCGGCAATCGGGAGCGTTGTTCGCATCTTGCAGTCGCATTCGTTACCAGAAGCCAACTTTCAGTCGCTAACCTCGACGCGTCTTCTCCCCCCATCTAGAGCTACGGTCCTCCCCAGGGACAGTACGGCCCCCCTCAGGGCCAATATGGGGCTCCTCCTCCAGGCCAGTACGGTCCTCCTCAGGGCCAGCCGCCCATGCAGTACGAACAGGCGCCTCCCCAGGAGCAGCGCGGCCGCGGCGGCGACCAGGGCTGCTTGATGGCCTGCATTGCCGCCCTGTGCTGTTGCTGCGCCGTCGAAGAGGGTTGCGAGTGCTGGTATGTTTTTTGCTGTTGATTTTCTCTCTCCCCCTCCCCCCTTTTACCCTTCCACTACGCTGTTCCGCTACGCGCGACACCAGGGATCTTTGCGACGGTAAATGTTTCGTGCCATTGGCTAATACGTCGCCCTACCTAGTATCGATCTCTGCGAATGCTTCTTCTAAAATCTCACCAAAACCCACGCATATCGGACACCATAGCGAACCATACCGCAACACGAACGAGGTCCAGCGCGTACGGAGAGCGAAAGAATCGCAATCGAGGAAGCAAACCACTACCTTCCTCCTCTCGATCTGGTCGCGCCATGGTTGGCAATAGGAATTGCACGAAAAGACTGTCATTGAAATTGGAATAACAGGCGCCCGTCTTACTCTTATTTCGCTTGTAATTTTTTGGTTTTGAATCTGTTGCTGTTGTTTTTTATCATCTCATACCCCTCTGTTTTACAACTTATGAAAGATGGGAAGAGAAGACTTGGAGAGGCGGTTCTTGATCTATAATCTGGTGCATTTTTCTAAAGACAGGGTTATGGAGAAAAAGAAAAGAGTCAGAAGAGAAAGAGAGCGTGGTCTTTAAGATATCCAAGAGACATTGCTCGCATGCCGCAATAAACCCGTGCTTTTATCGTTATATTGTATGAAACAATCCGGTCCAAGTGATGAGCAAGCTCACAACTTGACCCCAAGCTTCATTTTCACATGTCAAAAATTGGAATGGAAGAAACGTTTTGTTGGCTCCGCCATCCGCCTGCTAAAAACCTGTGCTCTATGGGAAGCGAATCCATTGGACTACACTACAAATACCAGCCACAATCGGCAATAGAAACATGATATATTTGATTTGTACATCTACCCTCTTCTCTCCTTCCATCTGAAAACCCCCTGAACCAGCAAACTCTGCATGCTTCAACATCTTTGTTGCCCCAAACAACATCCAGCTTGACGTCTTTTTTACTCGTCGAGCTTGACATAGTTGGCAGGGAAGAGACCAGAGTGGCCGCCGTAGTGGCCGAACCACCAATCCTCGTCGGGGAACTCCAGGTTGGTAATGGTAGCGTCCTCGGGGAAACTCAGTTCTGCCACGACAAAAAGTTAGCAATGCCCATGAGAAAGCGTCATCAGTCTAATTCAAGGTTCTTCTCACCGTTATCTTCGGCAGCCTCGTAATCATACAGAGCCGTCGCGGTCGGGCCTGCAGCCGCGTGGGCCGGTGCTGCTGGCTGGGCGGCGGGTGCCGGCGCCGGCTCCGGCTCGTGCGCGGCAACGGGGGCGGCCGGGGGGGCGGGCGCGGCGTCTCCGCCCTCGACAAGCTCGACGTAGTTGCTGGGGAACAGCCCGCTCTCGCCCCTGGCGTTGGTGCCCATCCACCAGTCGTCGTCCACCATGTCAATGTTGGTGACATACTCGCCCTCCACCAGGTCGATCTCGTTGTCCTCGGCCTTCTCGTAGTCGTACTGCACGAGAGCGCGCTTGCCGCCCTGCTGGTCGTCTCGGTCGGCCGCGTGAGCCGCGTGCTCGAACGTCTGCTCGGCCACGGCGCCGGCCGCGGCTCGTGCCAGGTGGCCAGCCTCATGCTCATCCTGGAGCTCCTCTTCTCTGGGAACGGGGACCTGCTCCACGGGAACTGGCGGGGGCGCACGGTCCTCGGGCCTCTCGACGACGGGCTCGGGGCCGCGGGGAATCGGGGCGGCGACACGGATCGGGGACGGCGAGCGCTCCTCCACAGGCTGGTACGCGGTGGGGTCTTCCTCCTCTTCCTCTTCCTCGCCCGCAGGAGCGGGCCGGCTGGGAAGGCCGGGCAGAGCGAAACCTCCGGTCGGCCGGGAGCTGTCGGGGACCGGCGGCGGCGCATGGTGCTCTTCCTCGACGGCTCGTGTCGGCGGCGGAGGGGCGCCGGCGCCAATGGGAGCGGTGTTCTTGAAACGATCTCTCAGGGCGGACACGCCTGAGGGAGCCGAGCCCTCTTCCTCGGCGGCCTCTCTGGTCTCCTCTTGCTCATGCTGGTCTGAAGAATCGGCGGCACCTCGCGTGGCACCTCCGGTCTGCACCGGAGCCCAGCTCTTGCCCGTGTAGCCGCTCTTCCAAGAGGAGCCACCAGTCTGCTGAGCAGCTTGCGATGGCGCCGCCGGGGTGGGAACGCTTCCGATGCTTCCGCCCTCTCTGGCCTTCTTCTCAGCCCAAATCTGAGCCGGGGTCTTGCCGCCTTGATCCGCAAACGTCCGGCTAGCAGCTCCGACGGGAGGGGCAGCCGGGGCAGCCGGGCCACCGAATCCAAGACCACCGGGAGTCGGGGCCTTGGTGCCGGTGAATGCGGATGCTCCGGACCACTTCTTCGCAACGGTGGGCTTAGGGAGGGAGGTCAGCCGCGCGGCACTTGGCTGCGAGAAGGCGGCTGCTCGGTCAGACAAGGATTGTTGGGTGGTTTCCTGCTCTTCTCCTGCTCCAGATGATGGTGTTGGTTTCTGTGCCTTGGCCCGAATGGCAGCAATATCGACCTTTCCGACAGGTTCATACGCTCCCTTGACCGGCGTGGGCCTGTCGTCACCGGTCTTCTGAGCCTGTGCCCTGATGGCCGCAATGTCAACCTTGCCCACAGGCTGGTAGCCGCCTCCGACGACATCAGACGAGCCCGTCTCCTGTCGGGGCACGCCAGCGAAGCGCGAAGGCTCCTGCTTCTGACTTGTGAGCTCTGCCATGTTCACCTTGGTCGGCTGGTAGGCAGGGGCGACTTTTTCGATCTGGGTTCGAGTAACAGGGGGCGCGTCGGCTCCCCATCCATCCGCATCGACAGCGGCTTCTTTCCGTGATCGAGCAGCAAGAAGGGGGTCGACAGGACGGCCGGCCGAGGCTGAGGGTGTGAAGACGGGCTTGGACTTGACAGGCGGAGGAGCGGATGCGGCCACTCCCGCGGAGGACCCAGCCGAGTACTTGGCGCCCGACGCGTCGGCAACCTTGCGCATGATGGCTTCAGGATCCAGGTCGCTTTCGGAGCGGGCGGTGATTTGCACGTGGTAGCCATGGAGGATCTTGGACACGGCCGCCAAGTGGCTTGTGAAGTAACCCTTTGTGCGTTCAGGAACACCTCCTCCGCACCAGCCGATGAGGATGAACTTGGGAAGGCCCGAGTTGGGATCCCTGACCTTTGCAAAGGCGAACTGGATTCGGCCCTCGCTAAAGTCTTCGAAGAGCTCGGAGAGCTCGCCATCTGGACACATCATTAGCATCTTGCATCGGTGAGTGCCAAGCGCAAGGGCTCGTCAACAGGCTTGCGTACCGCCCGTGCTTTGGACCTTGAGAATGCTCTCCTTGGCGCCGCTGTCCTGGAAGGCGTTGACCAGGGGCGCCTGAACAGAGAAGAGGGCCCATTGAGCGTGCGTGGGCGAGCCGGATGAGGGCGCTTCTCCGCCAACAACAGCATTGTAGCTGCTCTTGATGGAGGCGCCGTTTGTAGAGGTGTTGAGGGACGCCATCTCGAGGCAGGTTTATCGCGGACGTATAGCGACCGAGGTCAATGTTGGAGGGAGATTCGACGTAGACGGACGCAGGGCGTGTGATCCGAACGGATGATTGGAGAGGGATTGCGTCCCAGGAGCTCCGCTCAGCAATGGCTAAGGTGGTGAGGCTCCGTTAGCATCCAGCTCAGGGGAGACTAGCAGAAGTCCGGGAAAGGCTGGGCTTCTCACACAATCACAGCCAACGGCGGTTCGTCCGGCAGCAGCCCAATAAATAGTAGCAGCGGCTCAGTAGGAGAGAGAAAGGAGGAGCCGTGCAAAGGTTCGGGCACAAACAGAGAGCAAAGGGGGGATGTTCGGGGATTCGTGGACCTGACCTGAGCCAAGCTGGCAGAGCTGATGGCGGGACATGCGTCGACGCTGCGTGGCGCCGAGGCGGGGACGAATAAGCGTGGCAGGCTGCGTAGATGCATAGCCCCGGGGGAAGCAGGTGGGGGATATGCGCGTACCGGGTCGTGGCCAGCTAGGGGGAGCTCAAATGACGCAGCAATGCCCCTCTCTGGCTGGTCTTTTGGCCTTGATTCCAGCAGCTGTATTACAGTACTCGTAATACATGTACTGCCCTGTACCTGAGCGTTTCCCGGCAGCGCTAATCATCATCTTCTTCTATTCCTGTTCTCTTGATGCCTGAGCGTGTGAAATTAAGCTCAGATCAAGGTTGGACTATCCAGGGGATGGTGTCAAATGCTGCAGCCTAACGTGATATTAGCAAAAGAAATGGCAATAACCTGAAATTGGTGCCTAACGTGAGAACTTTCCTTCCATGTCCATTGTTACCGAGTCGCTCATTAATGAAGCCCGGAGTCCACGTAACGTCCATGGCGGAGTAACACCCCGACGACTTCGCAGGTACGAGTACGTTTACATACGCGGATTCGTGGAGGCCTCATTACGTCCAACCAGTACTGGATTCAAGCTTGACTGGCTCTCATCTAAGAGTAATCACTGGAAACAAATCACGATCCATCGAATAGACGAAACATGTTGCCTTGCATTCGTCACTGCTGTCCCGATGCATAGGATCGATACCTGTCCCCCAAGACGTATGCAAGGGGAGCATAACAGTTGGGCACTGGTGCTGCAAGATCTGTCAGTATTACGGAGTACCCTATCACTTTTTCGAGTCTCATTTCGGAGTTGGACTCTTGTTCCACGCCGTGCTATATTCGACCTTGGAAGGTGTCGGAACTTCAGAGGAACGAACGAAGCCGAAAGGGAAGGGGTTTGGACTGTCGCACCGGGCACAAGTGATGGAGGCTCGATCATGCAATGTCAGCCTTGGCCCTTGGAGCTGCGAAGCCACTTCTTTCGAGTAAATTCAGCCTGGAGACGTACATTCTGTCTCGCCGCTACTACTAGATTCATTCTCCAAAGTACCTCTAATCACACGCTCAGGTACGAGTGCACCCTTTTTGGCTGGGGGCGGCTGACAGCCAATCGGAAGGATTCCCAAGCCCGATCAAGATTGGAAGTGGAAGTATCAGCTGAACCTGAACGCCCTGAATGTTTTCAATATGCTGTACAGCAGACTTTGCAATGAATGGAGCTGTTCATTTGGGATGTAATGAAGAGACGCTTCTCATGTACCATTTGAGGATGTTGGTAGCTGGTGCTTTGCAGCAGGGCTTAAGCATTGGCCCTCGAGAGTTAACGTGCATCTCTGTTGCTACCCTACGATGTTGAGGGGAAGACAAGTCATGACGACCCCATCGGGCATGGTGCCCCGAATTGAAAGATCAAGATTGAAAAGTTTCAACTTCATAAACAAGGTTTGAACACCAAGCACTCGGTTTACCATCTCCATTCCCGTGGCGACTCATGGAATCCTAGATAAGGTACGGATCTAGCTCTGAAGCACTCTTCGTTCGTCGCCTTAGTACTTCATGCAGTACCCAGTAGTGATATCTCGTATATAAGATACATCAAACGTAAAACAGTCAACTAGGTACCTCCTATGTAGCTATCAACTCAAACATCAATGCTTCATATTAGATTCTGCCTCTTCCATGCCCGTCCCGTCCTCTCGAGAACGCCACCTTATATAAGAGCTGGCTCGTGTGCGCCTTCCAAAGGCTTCCACCAGCCACACCGGTGTCCAGCTATCAACCAACGGCCCTGATTTGAAATGCCTGCGATGACCTACTTCCTCCAGCACTTGCGCCATCAGTTCTTACCCCGCTAAAAATCCAACCTTGAGAGCCCATTACCCCAATACTACTAAGACCACAACCACGACAAGGCCGATTTTCGCCGTCTTTCGCCCACGATTTGCCAGCATCAGCATCCGTCACCGCGCAAGTCCTCGACTGTGACCAAGGCCAAGATGTCGACGATTACCCCGATTGAGACCGACGAGCAGTGGCAGCAGCTGCTCAGCACTGCACCCGCCTCAACCCTCATCATCGCCTCCTTCCACGCTCCCTGGGCGGCACCATGTGCGCAGATGGCCACCGTCCTGTCAACGCTGGCATCCGAATATCCCGTCACCGACCCCCCGAGCACCAAGTGGGTGTCCATCAACGCCGAAGATCTCAGCGACATCAGCGAAGCCTACGACGTCACGGCCGTTCCCTACCTGGTGCTGCTGCGGAACCGCCAGGTCGTCGAGACTGTCAGCGGCAGCAGCGCCGTCAAGGTGCGGACGGCCATCGAGAAGCACGCCAAGAAGGACGGAAGTGCGACACAAGATGCAGCGGCGCCCAACGGGGTCGCTGAGGCGGCTCAAGTCGCCCAGCCCGATGCCGCTGCCGTCGATCCGGTCAAGCAGAAGGAGGAGCTGTTCAAGCGCCTGGACGATCTGGTCAAGGCCGCCCCCGTAATGCTCTTCATGAAGGGCACACCCAGCGCTCCCCAGTGCGGATTCTCACGGCAAATGGTTGGAATCCTGCGGGACCACTCTGTCAAATACGGTTTCTTCAACATTCTTGCCGATGATGATGTCAGACAGGGTCTGAAGGAGTATGCCGAGTGGCCTACATTCCCACAGCTGTGGGTGGATGGCGAGCTTGTCGGTGGATTGGATATCGTAAGTGCCGTGATATCAAGCCTCATGATATTTTGGCTGACGTTTGATACAGGTCAAGGAGGAACTCAGCAGCAACAGCGACTTTTTCAAGCCCTACAGCGTCAATGCTGAAGAAACGGCGGCATAAAGAAGATATCAAAAGGAAGACCGTCAGCAACGCTTCCTCACGCTTCCATCTTGGACAGGAGGATAAAACTCTCCACTACCGGCGGAGCTGCGACCCGGAGCGATATCGAAATGGACCGGCCTCTCACATCACATCGAGTTGCGTGCCATTGCAGTGCTGGGAGTGTCGGAAGGCTAGATGCGTAGAACGAGAGCATCGGAAGCGGTTGCCCCCTCCATGTTGTGCTGTTGGATGAGCGAGTCTGGAATTGGAAGATGATACCTGTGGTTGAAGCGCCCACAACTGCGTTATGAGAGTCAAGTATGCCTGGGCAGGAGCGAAAAAGCCCTTTCTGGGATGTGTGTGTTTTGTAGGTAAAAGTCAGAGGAGGAAACAAAATGATGAACTGAACAGAGTAATGTCAAAAATAGTAACTTGTCAGATGCGAGCATTCGTTGGCATGTTGCGTGACAACAGTACTACATTAGTTGAGAGCATGGGTTGACAACTGCCGCTGGTTGTGAAGGCCTGTATTGATTTAGTTGCATTGACTTGGGAACCAACCAGCTTTAAGTCGCAATCAACCTACTTACACCAAGCACTTCCCACGACACACACGGACATTCAAACAACCCTACGAGCTTATCTAAGGTAGGTAGATAGTAACCTCGAATGCTCGCATGTACTGACAGTACAACGAATACTACGCACAGGTGCAACTACGCACAGGTGCAAGCCGGGTTGCTCATCCTTCGTCCTGAAGCTGTTCCCGTGGCATCGGTATTCCCACTGCCGCTAGAACACTCCAGGCTGCCACAAAAGAAGAAAAAGAGGAGCCCCGATGGAAACGAACTCCCAAGCAATAAGCGGAGGTTCCATGGCTTCGTCTCTCGCCATCATTGGACGGATATGTTAAGGGGGGGTTAAGGTTCTTTTTCTCTGCTGACGAACGGCGCTAAAAACCGACAGCTCTGTTTTTCTCCCTCTTCCCTGTGCATGCATGTGGGCGAATGAGTGAGTCACAGATTGGAGGTTAGAGGATCGAGGTGCAGCTAGATAGGGGAGTACGTCAACTGGCAGCAGCCTTGTTCCTACCCTCCGTTACCCTCCGTTACCTTGTCAACTTGTCAACTTGTCTGCTTGTCTACTGACCGGGGGTTCCATTTCTCTTCTGATTCTCCCCCCTCTTTCGTATCGTGCGAGATTGTGCATGAGATGGGCTCTGCAACGGACGGCTTACTTCCGAGCCTGTCGCATAAATTCTCCGCCGCGAAACGAAGGCGACCGAAGATGCTTCGGTGATTCCTTAAGTAATACAGCGGACTTTATGCATCATACGTTGGCATCAGCCAACAACTAATACCTATCTGAACGAGATCAGAACCTTAGAATTAGTAATACGCTTAGCTTAGCCAAAACGCTGTTTCAACGAGGGTTGCCGGTCAAATGACGGGGGAGGCTTTTCCTCTGCTTGTCTTATCCTTAAGCTGGAAGTACATGGAAGACTGCAACGTGCAGGGAGAGGTACTATCGCGGTGCCAATGGATCAATAAACGGGCCGCCGCAAGCTTCCCCATAGCTCGGGTCCGTTGACTGGCCATGAATGCCGTGCACTAACACGGGGTACATGCGGTGGCTGAGCTGACAAAGCAGCTGCGCGTTGTAGATGAGTTCTATCCTCCTCAAGACCTCAGGGTGTTGTGTCTGCTGCGGGTTTGATGCGCAGTGCGGTGAGCAGTGCAGATGGACTCTGTCGCGATGATTACAGTCAATGTTTGAGAAGATTTGGTACTGGAAGTTTTGTCTGCACTCGAGATATACAGTCGCCGTGATAACGCCCGCATAAGAGACATGACAGCGTGGAATGAGAAGTTGAGGCTATGCTTCTGCTAAAAGGCTGCTACTACTAGCAGCGCAACCCTCGGGCGCCGCGAAGCTGCAATACACCACAGGGGCCGGAGTACTGATGTAAGATGCATGTACCATCTCCTAGTGCTCGACTTGCGGTACGGTAGTCGTAGTCTTCACAGCAACTGGATCGGGCGACGCTCACGCCCCCGGGCTCGACACCACTTCCCTGCTGCCCCCCACCACCGCGACTCTCGGGGTTCCTTTATTATATTTTGTGCTTGAAGCTCCAACTCCGGCGGATGTCTTCCGTCTTCTCTTCCTCTCTTCCTCTCCGACCTCGAGCCTTGTCTCCTTCTCTGTCCTCGTTGATTCTCTCGATAGAGTCTCCCGTATGACCGGACCAGCTCCTCCACTTTACCGTTTCCGTCTCTAAGTCCACCGCAAACGCCTTTGGACGCCCCTCTCCAACTGAACTCTCCAACTGAACTGATCGCCTGCCGTATCAAGCCACCCAGGCAATCCCGCACGCTTCTCGTCTGATTTCTCTTCGAGGCCGCGCAACTTTGTGGCATCTCCAGTTCAGGTCTTGACACCAGTTTCCCCCCTCGCATTCGCATCTGCAGCCCGAAGCCCCGGATCGCCTTTTTATTTCCGGCGAATGCAGTCTTTCCGTGACAGCTGCCGGCTGATCCTCTAGACGGCCAGCGTTCTTCTACTTATCGTCGCATCGAGTCGCTGCTTCGACTCCCTCCTTTTCAAGGCCTGACTGCTTTCTAGCAATTGACAGGCTGCCTCTCCCGCCTCCTCCGAAGCTCTCAGAGGTCTAATATATGCGCCGCATCAACCATAACCGGCAAGCCGCTTGTGAGGCCGGCTGAAGATCAGAGCATCGCGGTGTGATCCTTAACTCCGAATCGCCTCATCAGCCAACGGCGGTCCTTTGAGCCTACGAGAACTCCTCGGTGCCGCCCGCCAGTCTTCCACGATGACGCCCACTCCGCCTTCGACCAACTCTTCTGCCGGGGGCCGCTCCCCTGAAGAGCAGTTTCGCGTTGTGAGGAAGAGGAATCGCGTGCCTCTGAGCTGCTACCCATGCAGGACAAGAAAGTACGTTGTTATCTCCGCATTGCCCACAGACGAGAGTGTAGGTTTTGCTAACCTCTTATGTAGATTGTGAGTGCCAGACCGCGCGCTCGGATAGAACGACTTGACCGACTGAGCAGCGAGCTGCATCCTTTTGTATGTTTCTGCCGACTAACACAGTGTAGGAAATGCGACCGAAACCACCCGTGCAGCAACTGCACCAAGCGAGAGGGCATGGACACATCGTCATGCTCATATGCAGCGCCGGCAACCCGAAAGAAGAGCCAGAACCAGGTCGACGCAACTCCCGATGACATGCAGAACAGGATCGACCGGTTAGAAGGCCTTGTCTTGTCTTTGATGCATGGCGGGGCTAATGTAGACCCTGCTTCAGCCGCTGCGGCTGGCCGTGCTGCCTCCACGTCCCAGTCGTTGACCGACAGCGGCTCCTCTGCCAAAGTCGGCCGCAATGAGGGCGTGACAATGGATGGAGAGGACAGTGACTCGGAAGATGCACTCGCAGCCTCGTTGGGCGTCTTGAAAGTCGACCCCGACAAGGGCAAGTCGATGTACATCGGCCAGGAGCATTGGCATACGCTTCTAGCGGACATTGCCGAGGTCAAGAACTATTTCATGTTCCACAAGAAGGAGCTGGAGACGAGCTACGAGCGTGTCAGGCTATCCAAGCCAATGGCTGCCCGCGAGGGTCCGACGCTGTTGCTTGGAGCCTTGCCGGCATCAGAGATTGAACTCCGTGCCGAACTGCCTCCCAAGTCCAGCATCCTGACCTTGTGTAGCCGCTACTTCAACTCCATGGACAACGCCGTGTGCATAATACACGGGCCGACCTTTTTCAAGCAGCTCAAGAGTCATTGGGAGGATCCGTCAAAAACACCAATCATGTGGCTAGGGCTGCTATATTCCGTGCTTACCCTCGCAATGCTGAGCTATCACAAAGTGGGCGATGAGCCTCCTGAGTGGAGGGGCCGGACCCTGGAGCTGGCATCGCAATATCGGCTGAGGACGGTGCAGTGTCTGATCAAGGCAGACTATACGAAACCGGTCGAATACACCGTTGAGGCCATGCTTCTCTACGTTTTTGGAGAGTACTCCTCTCGGTGGGATGCCGACCTTGGGCTGTGGTTGATTGTCTCTGTCATCACCAGGATAGCCTTCCGCATGGGATACCATCGGGACGCGAAATGGTTCCCAAATCTCACCCCATTTCAAGCTGTAAGTAGTGGATCTTTGAGACTGTGCTCATGGTTGGACAAGCGGCTGATGCCAGACAATGCAGGAGATGAGAAGAAGATCGTGGGCGCTGGTGCGCATGTCCGATGTCATCTTTTCGCATCAAGTATCATTGCCCAACATGATTTACGAAAACGACTGCGATACTCAGCTTCCGAACAACCTGTTTGACGACGAGTTTCACCCAGACACCAAGGAATTGCCGCCTTCGCGCCCTGCCTCGGAACCGACACCGATATCGTACATGATTGCCAAAGTGAAGCTCTGCTCTGAGCTGGGCAACATCATGCAAGCGACTACCATGGTGGGAAAGACTGTCCCCTACGACGAGATTATTCGGTTCGATGCAAAGCTTCGCCAGATCATGCAGGAGCTGCCCCCTCATCTACGACTCGGTGCATTGGAAGCGTCCCAGGACCCGGTGACGTTGATTATTGCCCGGTATAACGTTGATATTCTGTACCAGAAGATCCTCTGTCTGCTACATCGGAAATATCTGGCAAAGGCCCAGCACAACCCGCGATACGCCTTCTCGCGGCGCGCTGCTATCGAAGCCTCTCTGCAAGCGCTGGATCATCTGGCCAAGCTTCATCGCGAATCCCAAGGCAACGGTCGGCTGCGATCCGTTTCATGGTACATCAAGTCGATCGCGACAAAGGAGTTTACCTTGCCGGCCATGCTCCTTGTTCTGGATCTTCACTATGACAACATGGCGGCACAGGCCAAGACTTCCCCAGAGGAAGGCATTTTCTTATACACTCAGGAGCAACGCAATAAAATGATTGGCGCTCTTGAGACTGCCCGATCTATCTGGGCAGATCTTGCCAACAGCTCCATGGAAGCATTCAAGGCCACCAAAATCATCGAAATCATGATGGAGAAGATCAAAGTGCCCCCTTCTTCAAGTACAATGGATTCCAACAGCGATCCGTTATCGAGTCGGACTGATTCCCTGTCTGCCTCCATCGTGGGCTCACAAATCGACCCAACACCCATGTCTTTCGTTGGCTCGCCATTGGGGATACCTGGCGTTGGTCTTGGTGGGCAAGACTCGTTCATGCAGAACAACGCTTTCATGGGCATGGACTTTGGGGTCCGGGGTGCGAACGCGCCCGATTTCCAGCAATTCGATGCTCTCAACGCTGGGGGGGCCGCCTCTCCGCTGTCCATGTTTACCAACCTGGGCGGCACTGGGGTAGGCGACCTGGCCAACTTGGACTGGGTAAGCTCTTTAAACCCCTTGCCGTACGTGAAGGACCACGGGCTAACCTTTGGTAATCATAGGGGGCATTTGAGAACTACACACAAATGACGACTTGGGGAGCCGACCAGAGCTTCCAGATTTACGGCAACGTAGATCCGTCGTCTACAGAACAGGGGCTCGGCGATGGCATGTTGAACGGAACTGACAACACGCAGCAGTAACTTGGAATGTACGAAGGACTGGACATATCGGACATTTGTCGTGTACAATTTAGAGCTCATTCGTTGGACATATCGGTCAGGTTGTTGATTTTTGGATGACGCCTGCCAGGTGCCTCTACGGCAGGAGTGACTATAGCTATCTCTATCGAAGACTCGCTTCTCTTCTCCCTGCTTCATGAAGACGAATACCTTGGATGGTTCTTCTTCCCCGAGATCTCACGTTGGAGAGCGTCATGACGTCAAACAACCAGATGCCCGTCTTTGCTTAATCATCTCTATCGATAAGCTGCATTTCCTAATTGCGTTTGTCGGGCTCTTTTCCATTGGCTCTTCGCTATTGGAGCTCTGGAGTTATAGGGGATCTGACGCTCTGCCACTGCTGCTGCAGCCAAGCACAGACCAAAAAGCTCCGAAGGCAACTCAAGGGCAAGCTCCTCCTTCCTTATGTTTACCTTTCATCTCAACCTTTCTTTTCCCCTCACTCTTCTCTTCTCTTCTCTTCTCTGTTCTTCCCTTCTCCCCTTCATCGTACCACTTTTGCCATCACTGGAGCTTCCCATCTTCTTTCTGATGATATTCCAACCTGCTCGGCAGTTGCTTGCTAGGACTGTTTAGCAGGGGTTGGATCCCTTGCATCTCTCCTGCAGCATCACCCGGGCGCTGTGTATCTGTCCCAGGCACTTCTTTCATTCAAGTCGTTACCCATTCAACACCAGTTGATTTTCCCTCTTCAGCCATGGACGGGCTTCCACGGAGGCCCGAGGTTGATGCCAGCCTATTGTTTCTGCAGAAGCTCGACGAAGAGCGAGTCCTGAACCAGAAGCCCAAGGACTCGCAGCATTCACTCGCTTCATCAGAGACTGGCAGTAGCAGCACCATGGATCACGTAAATGGTGCTGACAGGAAAAGGAAACGGGCGGTTAACTTGGGTTCAAACGAAGACGGAGCTGTCAAGAGGGTCAAGGTTACCTCTACTGGACAAGATCTTCTTGCTCTCGTTGGCACTGCTCAGTATTCGCGCTACGATATCTCGCAGCATCTCCCAGCGGAGGTGTGGCAGCATATCTTTACCTTTCTGCCTCCACTTTCTCTTGGGAAGTTGCTGTGTGTCAACCGATTGTTTCACAGATATCTTGATCCTGCTTCCCCCTTCAAGGTTTCTGCCCCAGACTCCAAGCTGCCTTCTTCATTGCCTAAGCTGTCACCAAACAATCTATGGCGAGCATCGAGACGTTTTCACTGGCCGAACATGCCCTCGCCGCTTAGTGGAAAATCCGAACTGGACATGTGGCGGTTTGCCTGTTTGCAGTCTTGCCAATTTTGCGGTCAGGTGGATGAAAACGACTATACTGGAGATCCCTTGCCATGGAGCCGCGGACCCGGTAATGATATTGTGTCGCCCATCTTCCAGTTCTTTGTCGCTTCGTGCGGGCAGTGCTTGGTTGAGCATAGCGTCAAGGTAAGTGCGGTACCCCAAGCCTCCCCTTAGTGGCCGTCTATCTACTTGCTGGCTGACATGAAGTTTTGCAGGAAGTCGATCTGCTTTTGTCAGCGTTGAATCCTTCATTCGTCGCAGCCGGCGCTCCTATGGTCTTCCTGACGGCCGACTTGAATGTTGTCCCTCGTCAAATATTGCGCAATGCGCCAATACCGACCGATGTTCAGCTGATGAAAGTGTTTTGGCCTGCTCAACTGGAGAGCCTCCAAGCTGAACTTGAAGACGCCAGACGATTTGGCGCCGCAGCTGCTGAAGAATGGATCAAAGGCCTAGAGAGTCGCGGAGTCGAAGCCATTCGTGACGCTTCTCGATGGGATAGTTGGTATCTTTCGGGAGGAGTCTGCCAAATGCGCAGGCGTTCCTCTTTTGCTCAGTCAGCTGCTCCCTCCAACGGTCGACATGTTCAGCGTGTCGAAGGTCTGCAAACCCGAAAAGAGATTAACGAACCCAAATCCAAGAGACGAGCGGATATAGAAGCTCGTGCTGCGCAGCTTCATCCTCCCATTCTCCCAGCCGTTCTTCATAAGCTCCAAGCCTTTCAAGTGGCTTCTGAGATAAATACACCACTTGACGACAATGAATGGAAGGTATTGAAGCTTATACTCTTGGACCAGCGGGACAAGGCAGAACAAGGAGGGAGAAAAGCTGCACCGAATACCAAGGCTACTCATAAGTACCCAACTCGAAGCAAAGGAAAGGACTTCAAGGAGTCTGCGCTTCAAGCTCCGGAGGATGTTGACACCATGATACAAATTGAACTATCCAAACTCTCAGACCAAATTATCAACGGCCAATGGGATAAAGGACGAAGCATCAAGAAGGAGAATTGTGCAGACTTCGCCTCGCAAGTGCTGACCTACGTCCACAAAAACTTCTACGCAAACTCTTCCAAGGCCAAAAGATCCTCGACGCGAAGACTAACTATAGAGGATATGAGATGGATATTCGCTCAAAAAATTGCGCCGCTTACCGACCCTCACGGGAAAGAAATATTCGCGTGCAACAGATGTCCAACGTCCAGGCCCTACGCGCTTCAAGGCGTCATCCAGCACTACTGTCAGACACACTGCGAAACGGGGGTGAAGATGTCCAGGCATTGGAAAGCAGAGTGGACTGCGGAGCTTCCATTCAAGCCAGCTTCGGCTGCAGAAGGTCAATCTCTCAAGCACAAGCACACCCCAGAGATGGGCCATGATATCCTTACAAAAAGGGACGGCGCTCTGGCCAAAGATGTAGCAATCGCTTGGCGTACACTGAAGAGTGTTCAGAACATACCCATCTCGGTCAGAGTGAGTGCCGCAGTTTACTTTGCTGCCAAGCGGTACCAAGAGTTATACCAGGAGCCAGCGCCATTGAAGCTATTGTGCACTGGAAAGTGTTCCAAAGTCATCGCTGTGGGAGCGTGCTTGACTTGCAATGTTTGCAAGCAGAAGTCAGCTGCAGAAGGGACTAGGCTTTCTAAACAGTTTAAACTGCGTGGCTTGGCCCATCATTGTCGCCAGACTCATGAGCGCGTTGATTGGCCTATGGGCATGGTCTGGGTGCCAGACTTGTGCCTATCGCAGGACGTTCGAGCCGCCATCCAGAAGAATAGGCCAGTTTTCCAGCTGATATCTGATGCTTTGCCATGGTTATTTGAGGACGAGCAAGAAATGGACCAGCGTGACCCCGTTCCCATGCAGAGTCGGCAGGCTCCTCTCGGTGGTACGAAAGAAGCGAATGATGCAGTTACTGGGCCGTCAACTTATCTCTATCCTGCCGGAAGTCCGATATTGACTGGTGAACCGCTTCATCTGTTCCCATCAAGCGCTGTGTACTCTGCACCAGACATGGCCCCTAGGGAGTTGGCAAACAAGTCCGCCATCGCGTCTGGGCCGAATAACCACGAGACAGAATATGAATACCGCGAAGCACCAGACAGGATGATGGCTCACTACACTACTGTGGAAGCCGGGGATCGCAAAGAAGCATATGTCAGTTCAAGGAGCGTCGGTCCAAGACATGCTGTGCCAGAACCAAGGAGCTATGTGGAAGCTTATTACATCCACCGTGAGTACGAGCCTCACGCCAGAGAGACGTCGGTCAGCTATCCGTATTATCCCGACATGGAGCGGCAGAGACAGCAGATCCCTGCGACAGTTGAAGTTCGACACACCAGCCGGCAACCCTGCACAACCAGATATTACAATCCGCCTATGTCTTCCACGGCCTACCACTATGCTGAACCCATTCGGTCCTACGACAGATATGACCTTGTGGGCGTGCGAAACTTACCGAGTGAGCACTATTTTGAACATCATCTTGCTTATCGCAGGCAGAGAACTACCCCGATGCCGGCTATCTCAGGTATGCCCGCCGGGAACTATGTTGATACGGCACCTGCATCACGGGTGTATAAAGCATATCCTTCAGGACATCAGCTGGTCGAAAGAGTGTCTAGGGAGGTGGAGTGTGATCTAGAGTAGGGCCCTCACACGAGGGGATTTTAACCCTTTTCCTTTTTCTCGTTCTCGCTGCAGGTCGACCGCATCGGAAAGGGCGTACGGATTATACGAATTGCAATGTTGTTTTCTTGGCATGGAGGCAAAGGGTAGCGAAAGGCAAGAGGCGACATGTATGAGTACTTTGTAAGAGTAAGAGTCATCGAGACATTAATCAACGTTTTGACCACGGTTACGCTTTGATGATACGGCGCTGAGTATATATTTCCTATTATTGGAGACGTGGCAAAAGTCGAGCGGTGTAGTCGTAGAGATGTATAAGAATCGCTTGTAGGAGCCAGCCAGGGTTACGGAAATCCATCCACCCATCCATCCTCCTGCCTCCTGCCCCTCCAATTGCCTTGAAGCATCATGTACAGATTTTGTTTACACATCCAAGAGGAACCTCCCCATTTGAGGTCACGTACTCCTACATCACCTCTTTTTTTTCACTTCCTCATCTCAATTTTCATCCTCATTTCCCATCCTCCTGTTCTTCCTCGTCCGCCGCCCTCTTTATGCTTTCGTTAAGAACCCCCCGTGACGCCTCATTGAATCGTCCCCCTTTCGTGTTTTCTTTTGAGAGACAACCTACCGCTTTGTTTTTTTTATACAGACATGTGACCTCCCAGTTCCTTTTTTCTTCTTTTATCCATGTGTATTCCACCCATCCTCTCTCTCCCTTTGTCCCTTTTTCCTTCCGCACCTTGGAATGACACTTGACGGATATTCTTCAAGTCAAGGAAAAGAACAAAAGAAAACCCAGAAAAGGCTGGAAAAAGAGAGAGAGAGAGAGAGAGGACATCGGATGCTTAAAGCACACCCCTTTACAGGACCTCGCCGATAATCTTGGCCGCCTCGCGATACGTCTGGAGCAGCTTCTCGCACTTTTCGCGCTCCTTCTTGACGCCGTCGTCCTCGTAGAGGAGCTCCTCGAAGAGGGCTTCCTTGTAGAGCTCGCTGACGAGGCGGTTCTGGACGACGTCCTTGCAGTGATTGACGAGCAGGTGCATGATGGCCTTGGGGACCTGGTCGGCGATGGACTCGCGGACAATGTTGAAGTAGGAGGAGATGAGGGCCCGGATGAGCTCCGCCTCCATGGCTTCGCGCTCGGTCATGGCGGGCTCGGTGGATTCGCCCTGGGAGAAGGACGGTTTTGCAGTTAGTTCGGAAAGTTCGGTTTTAGAAGATTGGACGCTGGAGATGGGGGTGTTGAGTTTGGGTGTGGGGGGAAAGAGTCCAATACTTACCAGATGTGATGCCAGGCCGTAACTCCGGGATGAAGGATCGTAGTCATCCGTCACGGAGGGGGGAGCAGTCCGGATCGGAATCTTCTCTTCGCGGCGCAGACTCTGCGAGAAGTTGGGCTCGGAAGGGTGGCTGGTATGTCTGCCGTTGGTGGTGGGCGTGATGGGGGCGCTGACCGGCGCCATGCCATCCTTGCCAAAGAAGTAGTTGAGGAACGTGTCTCGGGCGCCGCCGATGCCTTGTCCGTTCATGCCCGGGGACGACGGGCGGATTCCGTTCATGGACGCGCCGAGGCCGACGAGGGAGTCCTGGTGCACGGCAGGCGACATGCTTCGCGAAGTCTTTGACGTGGCGAGTTTGCGCAGGCTGGGCTCGGGTCGCTCGGGTCGCTCCGCGGCGGGAGTCTCCTCGCCGTCCTCTTGCCCTTCCGTGCCGTTGGGCCCAAGCTCCTTGACCCGCCTCTTTTCCCGGCGCTCGCGCTCCTCCTGGATGAGCCTCTTGCGCTCCCGCTCCTGCTTGGCGCTGACAACGTTGCTCATCGCTGCCGCGGCACCCAGGAAGTTGGGGTGGTTCGTGTTGATGTATGCGCGCTGGATGGAAATGAGAGACTCGACATAGTTGGAGGCGGGGCCTAACCGTTCCCGCAGGAGGTCCGAGACCACCTCGATGAGCTTGGCCTGGAGCCTTGGGAATCTGGACAGTTCTATTGAGCCGCAGGTGTGGCAAATCTTGATGAGTTCTTCGTAAACGAGCTCGACACAGCGCTGGCTGGGTATCTCCAAGAGCTTGATCTGGGGCTTGACGAGAAGGTCGAAGGCCATTTCGGGAACGAACAAGCTGGGCCGGGGGCCAGTAGAGTTGCGAATCGCCGTTCTAATATCCAACGCTGTCAGATTCGAAGTAGGGTCGATGGTGTCTAGTGAACTTCCAAAAACAGAGTTGAAGATGTAGTAGATACGGGCACCACCGCAGAGCTCCTTGGTCGAGATCTCGGTGGACGTGCCGTCAATGGAGGAGATGAAGGAGGTTGCGAATCGGGTCATGAGCTGCAGAATCAATGAGCCGCGATGCTCCTTTCCGCTGAAGTGCATGTCTCCGTAGCCGGCCAATTCCTGTTGCGTCTGACCCATCAACGTATTGAGGCGAGCCTTGATGTCCGGCAGACGTTCTCGGATGTGAGCCATGAGCGTTGTGTTAAGCGTCTTGGCCAAGAACTGAGTACCGCATCGACTTGCGATGTTGCGGTAAGCCGGATGGTGTTTGAAAAAGTCCATTTCGGCCTTGAGTGCGTCGTCCATGGGCTTGTTACCCTGAATATCCTGCTGAGAGCGGTTCACCACGCCAATGAAGCCGAGCTTCAAGGGGTACACACGGCCAGAGAGGATGTCGAGGGCATTGGTGCCGTGGTCCATCAGGTCGATCTTGGTGAGGACGCCGATAGTCCTCCTGCCGAGAGGATCCACATGCCGGGCAAGCTTGAGAGAATCCGAGTTGACAAGGTCGACATTGGCCGGGGAAACAGCCAGGATGATACTGTTGGGCTTGGCGATGTACTCGGATATCAAGTTCCTCGTCTGCTTCTCGATATCGGACGGCTGGTCACCAATCGGTACCTATTCACGATTTGAATCCCAGGTTAGTCGATAGAAGCATTCAAGAAGTGGGTTGCGCGGGGGAAGGTGGTAAAAGACGAACCTTGGTCAAGCCGGGCAGGTCGACCAGCGTCAGGTTGAGGACATGCGGTGAGTAGATTTTCAGGTTGATGGGCTGTCTGTTGATGCCCTTGTTGGTACCCGCCACTCTGGCCGTCTCGTTCTCAATCTCCCGCTTGACGTCTATGAAGTCGTTGAAGCGCCGGTTCGGGATGTGATGGAACTCGGCCCATTCTGAGCGCCGCGCAGCACCGGGGGATCGGTACGGGTCGTTGTACGGATCGGGCACGGTCTCGTCCTCGGGGATGTTGATGAGCTGCAGGATCAGCGGCCGGCGGGTGACGATGCCGCTGCCTCGGGGCAGAAAGTCGCGGCCGACAATGTTCTCGAGGACGGAGGATTTGCCGGCGGACTGGGATCCCACGACGACCTGAGCAGCGGGGCATCATGAGCGTCAGTATATCGGCATGCATACTTATCGGGCATATCAAGCGAGGGACAAGGGCATGTGTTTCGTCTTTTTTTTGCAGGGCCACGCACAATTTGGGGGAGATCTAGTGAGTCGCTGCCAATGGTGTTGAACACCAGGTCCTGCAGCTTGTTGACCGTGGTGAGCAGATCTTCGCCGAGGGCCGCCATTGCAAACGGCGTTGCTGGAAGCCTTTTTTTCTTCGTCTGTCGTTCTTTTTCCGGCCCTGGTCCTCGGTTCGGCGGGCGTCTCGCAGGCGGGCGGCGCAGGTGAGATGCAGATTCCGGGTCGTCACAGCAGCAGAAAAGCCTCCAACCAGGTGATTCGTGCAGCAAGACGCAACGCGACGGCTTGCGCTGGGCGATTCGGACGATTGAGATTGAAGGGCAGAAGCAAGGCCGAAACAATCAATGGCTCTTGGTCGGGCTGTTTGGCTACGAGCCGGTACGTACCGAGTTCACGTGTGGACGGTGGGTCTGTGGTCGATTCAGCGCCACAGGTACCGGATACTCGGTCGGGGTGGGATGCGCAGTGGTGGCTGGCGGTAGAGAGGACCTCGCCCGCGGACGGAGCTAGACTGCCTTCTTTTCCAAGTTGCTCATCCGCCACCCCCAAGTCCCAAGATCGACGGCATGCAAGTGGCTTGACACTTCTACAGAGGTTCTACTTCAAGAGAAATGTCGACGAGACGAAGCCCGACTGGAGACGATAAGACGATGGGCTGCCATGTATCAAAACTGGGCGGTCATAACATAAGGTAGGTACTCTAGAGTGCCTTTATCATTGTCATCTCTGAAGAACCACTGATACGATACGTGAGGTAGTTATCGCGATGAGGCCTATCCTCGGATCACCCCTTCTTCTGCTCTTCAGGCTGCCATGGTTTGCGAAGAATAGCACTTGGCGGCATCAAGTCTCATCCAGCCTGTCGAACCATGATCCTTGAATATAAAGCTCTGGACTAGTAATGCTTCCACTCCAGCTTGCGTTGTAGAGGCGCCTCCAGACAGAACCACATGTCATACTGCGCACAATGCCGCTCACCTGATTGTCTTGTCTCTCCTCGTCAAAGAGATGGAGGGCATCAACCACACCCCGACAATGCTTTGCGACCCGATACTGAGACAAGAGGCGCTCCCGGATCGGCCAACCAAGGACAAGCCGCCTGCTTCAAACGCCCTGTCTCTGGTTGGGCGCCTGTGGAACCCTCCGGCAGCGCTCGAAAGAACACGACTGCTGCAGCTAGCGGTTGAGTTGGCTTGCAGTGTGTCACAACGCGAATGGTCCGTTCCAAGACCCAGAGAGGGAGGGCCTGCAAGGAAGAGAAATCTCTCTCTTTTTCGTTGAGCCTTTCCGAGTCACGGCCATGGCAGTCGTTGCACCGATTCGTACCCGAAGACTGTTACTGATCACATAACGAATGAGTGCTTTCTCGATAACAATGACGACCAAGATGACGAATGAGCAAATCCATAGAATAGCGTGTACAGTAGAAGAATGTTTGTAGGTACTCGTAAAAGCCTCTGACCCAAGTTCCAACTGCACGGCGGAAACCCTCCGTCGTCTCGGGTGCCGTCTTCCCAATGCGGCCAAGGCCACAAATGTTTGTTATGCAGCTATGCGACCTGATTCGCCACCCGGGTTGCAGCCAGCGCCAGGGCCGCGGTTAGCTAAGCAATGCGTGCCGCTCTATCGGGGCCCGGCCCCACCGCTTTTCGACAACCATCATGCGCGACAGACGGCCTGCAAAGTCTCATCTCATACCCAAGCAAAAAGAGAGAGAAGGGAGAGAAAAGGGATATGCCTATGCCCCTGTTGCGGCACCTAAAGAAATGAGTACATTCGGCAGCCCTGGGGCGCTGCCATCAACCAAGCCAACCCCGTACGTGTCCCCCCGAACCGTGATTTGAAAGGCTCAGGAGCTGGGCTGACCCGCCGTCTCCATAGGCCTCAGCGAGGGAGCTTCCCCTTGGACCACGATGGTAAGCCTGCTTTGCTGCTCTCTCCTCAGAAGTCGAATCTAACTGGACCAGGCGAGTGCAAAAAGGCCATGATCAGCTATCTTTCCTGCATGAAAAAGGTCCGCGGCGTCAACGAGGACGAATGCCGCAACCTGGCCAAGGAGTATCTTGTGTGCAGGATGGACAGGTAACGACAAGACTAGACGAGATACAGAAGCAGTGAGACAGTCGCTTGGGCTAACGTATTTCCCCAAACAAAGAAACCTGATGGCTCGCGACGAGTTCAAAAACCTGGGCTTCGCAGAGCCCCCGGCAGAGCCAGAAAAGGGCGTCAAAGGCGAACTCCGGTGGTAGTAGCAGGGCGAGTGGGCATTGCACTTCGCAGCCGGAAAAGACGCCCCCCAGTCGCACAAGGCACAGGACAGGCACGGAGTCGCAAAGGGGGAGGGAAAAGGCTTGAGGCCATTGGCCGTTCCAGTGTTGACATTTGCCCAACCCCGTATCCGTCCCTGTATGTACATACCTACACATTATTCTAGCAGCGATCTGGAACTTTCCAAGCCCTGTACCATAGCGCTTACCCCCTGCTAGCAAATCCCTCCTCTCCCTTTTTTTTTCCTTTCTGCAAATCAGTGGCCCCATGCCTTCACAAAAGTTGTGTTTCTCTCGTCACTTATACGCAGTCAGCGAACCTTGTGCTAATGGACGGATTGCCAGCTCACATGCAGAGATTTGGGTTCCATTGGCGTTGCAACCAGTCGAGAGCTGAGCTGGACGGGCTAGTGCCGGCTAGCGGTCTTCAGTGCTCCCGTAGCGCTGCGTGTGCCTGTAATCCGCACCAAGACCGCTAGCCGGCCGCTGTGGTGCAGCCATTAGCAGCACGCGTTAGGCGCTCCCCCCTGGTCTGGGGTCTGGGTTCCAGGTCCAGCTGTCTCGGAACATGCCAAGGGTTGCCCCGTCAACCCCCACGCCCAACCAACCATCAATTGATTGATGACTTGCACAACTGCACTCGCAGAGCACCGAGACTTGTTCACGTCTTGCATTGCATACAAAACGTCACGCCTCGCATGCGACCTCTCTAGCCTCCCGTCACCGCCAGCCTGCGGTACCTCGACAGCAGGCCGAGTGCACCCATAAAACCCCCGTACCGCCCCTCCGGAGACCAAAGCCGTTCTGTCCTTCATCTCGTTACGGTCACGGTCACGGTCACGGTCACGGTCCCGATTCCCGCGATCCCAGAGAAGCGAGTGTGCGTGCGTGCGTGCGTGCGAGCGAGAGGAAAGAATATGAGGCCATCGGGCGAGGTCAGGTCGCGGACGGCGACGCCGCCATCACCATCTTACATGACGAAAGACGAGTTTGGTACGAAGCTTGCGGCGTGGATTTTGTATCTAGACTGGACGATGGTTTGTTGGAGCTGGTTCGCTAATGTGCCTGGTCGTGAGCAGCAGCCTACCTCGCAAACCTTCGAAACAAGCCCGTCGTCAGGCCCGGAGGTGCAAGGCCGCTGCCTCCCAGCAACCGTCCGCAGGTAAACCGGAACAGTCTCAGTCACATTAGCTTCGACGCATCGACGGCGCCATCTCGAGATTCTCCGTCGCCTGCCCCTCATGTCGGCCATCAGCGGTCTCAGTCCTTCACCCCGAGCCTCGTCGGCGGGAGCATGGTATCAAGTCGCCTTTCGACAATCAGCGCCCGGAGCCGCGACTACTATCCCTCGCGACCAACGCCCCCTCCGGTGAAGCCCGATGATGTGGTGCCTACGGCGAGCTACATGGAGCGAGGCCGGCGGTGGATGGAAAGAGAAGAGGCTTCGTCGCTGCGAGACGCCATGGAGGAGATGGACCTGAGGGAGAGCAGAAAGAACACGCCCGATGTCGAGTCTCCTGCTGCCGACGACGAAGAAACTCGCATCTACAACGCTGCTCTGAACGAGGCGGCCGAGCTCGTATGGGAGCACCAGAACGGAGTCAAGCCCCGGCCGCCAGAGGGTGCGTACCGGTACCGCTCACACCTCAGGAAGGATAGCTACGCACATGCCCGGGCGGCCGCTCTGGCAAGGGGGGAGGATTCGCCGGGGGCGAGCAAGTCAAATAGGAACTCATATGCGTCCTTCCGCTCGGCCACTTCGTCAGAGGAGGAGAACGGCGGCACCCGGCTCAACGGATCCCCCGAGCGAAAAGACGCCCAGGCCGAAGAGTCTCCAACCAGCAAGATCAAGTCCTACGGGAGTGTCGGTGGGCGGTTCACAGGCGGTCGACGCAGCAGCATGAAGCGGAACATCAGCGGCGAAGTCCAGCGGCCCTTCTCAGGGGACCAGATATGGGAAGAGCCCGAGGTCCAGTCGGGCGACGGACCCACGACGTCGACCCCTCCGAACGGTGATTCGCCCGTCTCGCTGCATCCCAAGCCGTCCAACACCGTCGGCCGCGTCCCCTACCAGCGCAACCAAGGCGAGACGAGCCCGACGAAGCGACTGGAGCGCATCGAAATCCACCGGAATCCTCCGACTCGCTCGCGCAACGCCCAGTACCAGGTCAACACGCCCGTGTCCAACGCGCAGCAGCTCCCGGACGGACAGCACCTGAATGGCGTCGAGATCCGCAGCCAGGACATCCGCGAAGCCACGAGCATGAGGCTCAAGGACCGCAGCTCCAGGCTCCCGGAACCTACTGCGGTCAGCGACAGCCCTGGGAGGCCCATTGTAAGCTTCGATGCGAACTGGAAAGCCCCGGAGGAGGCCAAGTCCACTGATGCGAGCTCAGACCGACGCCCAGACCCGACAACGCCAGCCTCTAACCGCTACCAGTCCCAGCCACAGTCCCAACCTCAAGCCCAACCCCAATCCCAGCCCCAAACACCGTCGCGGCCTATGGATATCCCTAGCATCGTTGTGGCGGAAGACCCTTCGCCGCGGCCACGGGCGCAGACGAGCGCGGGTGTGCCGTCCATCTCGATAGCGGAGCCGGACGAGGCCCCAAAGCGGCCGACGCCCGCCATCAACATCCCGTCCATTTCGGTGGACGAGACGCCGCCGACTCGCCGCGGCATCCCCAGCATCTCGACATCGAGGGATTCCCCCGTGAGAGACTCGCCGGTAAGGGACTCGACCATAAGGGGCTCTCGTCCTCTGCCGACGCCGGGGGGGCGAGGAGGAGCACCTCAGGGTGCGCGCGACCTGCCGCGACCACGCGGCCACTGGTCTCCAGCCCCGAGTGCCCATGTGCGAACCGGCACGATCTGCAACCAGTGCGAGCAACCCATCGAAGGCAAGTTTGTGGCGCTGGCTGGCCTCTCTGAGCGCTTCCACCCTCACTGCTTCCGCTGCTACACCTGCGGCACCAGGCTGGAGGCCATGGAGATCAGCCCCGAGCCAGACGCAGCGCGGAGCGAGCGTCTGGATCGGATTCGGCGTCGCGCTGCGGGAGAGGTACTGGAGGAGAAGCCCGGCATGACCATGGCGGAGGACGGGGACGAGCGCCTCCGCTTCTACTGCCATCTCGACTGGCACGAGCTCTTTGCTCCTCGCTGCAAGCACTGCACAACGCCCATCCTCGGGGAGCACATCGTCGCACTGGGAGCGCACTGGCACTACGGACACTTCTTCTGCGCCGAGTGCGGCGACCCGTTTGAGCATGGCATGACGCACATTGAGAAGGACGGCTACGCCTGGTGCATCAACTGCCAGACCAAGCGAACCGAGCGGCGGGCGCCCAAGTGCAAGATGTGCAAGACGGCCGTCATCGGCCAGTACATCAAGGCGCTGGGGGGCGAGTGGCACGAGCACTGCTTCCGCTGCGCCGAATGCAAGGGAGGCTTCGACGACGGCCAGATCTTCCCCAAGGAGACGGCGACGGGGGCCATTATCCTGTGCACCCAGTGCCGCTCCAGGGAGCTCAAGTTTTGAGAGAAGCAGAAGCAGCAGAAGAAGAAGGATGAGAATCATGCGATTGATGCCGATGACGGATATTGTGTACTTGTTTGCTTGGCTTTTGTGTTCGACGGGGCGTTTTGTTTGATCCAATTTAGGGGGGAAAGGGGCAAGCACTGGGATGGATAGGTAGCATATAGGTAGGCATGGACAATGAAGAACCCTTTGCGTACCTCAAGCAGAAACCCCCCATATAGCTGTTCATTGCAGTTGACCTCGGACATTTCTGTTTGCAAGGTCTCTGAACAATTCGCCGTGGAATTGCAAGACGACAAGAAGAAGGCAAAGACAAGCACGGAAGACATGCGGTGACAAGCATGAGGGAAGAAGAGACGCGGTAGATTGTCATCGTGAGAAGACGTCAGATTGTTCCCATCTCTGACATTGGATTCTTGTCTCTCTCTCTCTCTGTGCTCTAGTTTAATACAGATGCCACGATACTCCGTAGATGAAATCGCAGTACCCTTATGTTTGTGTCTGAGAGATGAAGAAAAACAGGTAGGTAGTCGAAAAAAAAAAAAGTTTAGAAAACGCGCAACCCTAAAAAACAAAGATATCACCCAGCTCAGACGCCCCGTGTTGCCCTTCTTCCACTGCCTCTCTGTGTCCTTTCTGACCTTTTTTTTTTTTCTTATTTTCGTTTTGTTTACCCCTTCAAGTCTCCGATTTCGTGAAAACGTTTCAATCGTTTCGGTGTCTTCCCTTGCGCTTGTGCTCCCTCTGTCGTGAATCCCGCGTTCACCGGTCGTGGTGGATGGATGGATGGATGGTTGTGGTGTCGTCATCCGACTATAGCAGGCGCCCGCCGACTTGTTCTTGATGGACCTCGAGGGTATCGCCATCCGCCATTTCGAGCTATTACCGCATAGAACGAGAAAGCAACACGTCAGCAACAGCACTCTCACTCAAGAAGACTTTCAAGGTTCACTTCCAAAGGGGCGCAAAGAAACGTGGACAAGGATACAGAAACAGGGAGAAAAAAAAAAAGAGAAGAAAAGGGAAAAAGCATACCGCGTCCGGGGTGTCCGTGGGCTGGACCCGCGTGCCGTCGAAGAGGAAGCGCACCGAGTTGAGGGACTTGCCCTGGCGCTCGCAGAAGGCGGTCATGAGCTTCTCGAGCTTGGTGCTGCGCTTGATCTTGAAGAAGACCTCGTTGTTGTTGTCGGTGACCTTGATGTTGAGGTGCTCGGCGTTGGGGGGCGGGACGTTGTCCTGGGGGGACTGGTTGTCGTTGTCGGCCATTGTTTTTTTGTTTCGAGTTGCGCGTTTGGTTTGAATCGTTTATGGATTCTGGCTTGTTGCAGTTGTTGGAGGTGAGTTATACTAGAGAGAGTTGAAGTTGAAAGATTGGGCTGGGTGAAAAGCGATGTGACTGACGGACAAGGCGATGAAGAAGGGCGGCCTTCTTTGGGAGAGAAGTGGGTGGGGCACGAGGCTTCTCATTGGGCGGCTGAGGAGATATTCTCGAGGGTACCTGCGCTGCTAGCAGGAGGTACAGTGTCTTGCACGGCTGGGCGGCGGTGATTGAGCGCCTGCTGAGCGCTGGAGTGCGCCGGAGTGCACTGGGGGGTTAGTGCTGTTAGAGCTCTTGTTCAGCGCTGCATTGGCGTGCTTGGCCTTGCTGAAGAGCTACCCGTGGTACCTGGGTGACTTGCGCGGGCTTGTGGAGCTGTCGGATGTATGTAAAAAGGTGACGGCTGTGATGACATCAGTCAACGATCAATTTCCCGAGTCTTGACTTGGCTTCGGAGAGACGGTATAATAATAGCTGGGACTCGGTCTTCATCTTGCATCAATCGGGCGCTTTCGGTGTATATGCTCGCCATTGGGAATCGTCGGTCCTCGTTGTCTGATCTTGAGAACCTTGCTGGCTTGGAGAATTTTGTGTCTTCTACCTATCACCACCTCTGTTGAGATATGGTTCGTCTCACCTCTTTCACATTCTTGAAAGCTCAGAGGTGAATCATGTCAACTGATGGCAAACACTGATGCTGCAGCCGTCCCCCAAAGACGACGTCGATGCACGTCCGCCGTGCCACCCTCGAGCAGTACGTCAATCCAGACCTTGACGGTGTCGATACATGTACGTGGAGCTGACAACAGACCCCTCCGCCTTTGCTCTTGATTTCAGTGTGCTATTCAGGGTAGGCAAGCTGCAGACCACAAACGCACAGAAAGACCCGAGAGCTGAAATGCCACAGACTGCCTGACCAAGAACAACTACAACGAGGCTCGCTGCCAGGACGCCGTCAAGGCATTGTACGAGTGCTGTGACGCCTTCTACCGGCGCTACGGCGACGATGCTTCCTCTCCCAGCTGCCCGCAACCGAAGCTGCTGCGGTTGAAGATGCAGCAGCAGAAGGAGGGCAAATGAGGATTCAGCAGGCAAAGGGTTTCACGCTCTGCCACAGCGCTCATTCGACGCATCCAGACACGCACAAGGCCTACGATATAATACCTAGATAGAATGTACATCTACCGGATGGCAGGAAAGGGAAAATGCGAGGCATGAGACAGGATTTGTACGCTCATCGTATGGTATGTCAACCAGTGTAGAGAATTTCAGGCAACGTTTATGAGGAGCGAGTTTTTCTAGGCGATCGTTGAGCACGCGAGAGATCCTCATGGGACCTGAACAAGCATCGAAGCGTCTTGTTCCGAGACTCTAATACGAATGCCGATGACATTATGATGAAGAAGAAAAGAGGAAAAGGAAAAAAAGAGCGAGACGAAAATTTGCAACAAGTAGGCGGATTCACCAGTGCGCTGAAGCCCGCTTTGATGCATATCGCAGTATGCGGGGCGAGAGTTCCACCCAGGACCTATCGCGGTCTAGCGCCGCCTTTAGCGTCGAGCAAGCCGTTCGTGTGCAAGCTCAAGCGCGTGAAGCAACAAAATATCGAGCTGCTCGAGTTTCTGCGTTCGCAAACCCACGAATATCCGCCAGAACAAGCATCGCAAACTCCTCGAATCGACGAAAATTCTCCCGCAGCGACTGTGACGGCACCGGCTCTTATTTAATCCCTGATTGCGACTCACATTCGGGTTATGCGGCCGAGGTCGACGCCTTGAATAGTCGGCACCTGGACGCCAGCCAGACTTTCTTTGTAGAAGTCGCTGTTTGGGGACGTTTCGAGGGCGAGATTGATACGCTTCAGAGCCCTTGACGTGTATTCTTGGCTATTCATCTACTCTAGCAGCTCAGGGGCGACTCTGCTTGCGCTTCCGCCAAATCGCCATGGATCACGGGCTGTCGTTCGACCTCAATGCTGGCCCCGAGGTGGAAGAGTTTGCCAACGCCCTTGACAACTGCCTCTCGCCATACCTAACGCCAGAAGACAAGCAAGCCCGCCTCCTCGACCTCCCCCGAAGATACTACGAAAATGCGTCGCGAAGACTGCAGCAAGTGCGGCCGAAGCGAGCCCGCAGTGGCTACGAAGATGTAGACATGGATGCCGACGACGCTGAGACGGCGGATGGCGAGGGCTTCTCTGGCGACGTCGACGAGATCAAACAGCTGGAGAAGGAAGTGCAGACCTGGGACCTGATTCGAAGACTACTACCTCTGCGCTTCGCGCCGCAGGAACCAAAGACGGACGAGCGGCAATCGATAGAAGCAACAAACTCGACGCAGTCCGACTTGCTGCTCGAGTTTCTCCTTGCGGACCCCACAGCCCGAGAGCGCCATGCTGTCCTTCAGTGGCTCCAGAGCAACGCGGCTGCTGGGCCGGACATTGACGACCTGGCCCGAGATCTGCTGAAGCAGGCCGATCGAGGAGACATTGTTGCCCATGGCTGGCTGCACACGCGCGCGACGATCAAGCTGCGGAAGAACTTGACGGCTTGGCATGGGCTTCTGGACCGTCAAGCGCCCAGAGTCATGGAATCTCACGTCAACAAGGACGGCGCCCCCCTGATTACGCAGCTGGACCCCGATGCCATCACTCGCCAGGGCCGGAAGCTGGAGCCTGCGGACGAGTACTTTGAGCGCGCGATTTGGCTGGGCTGCTTTGAGCATCTTCGCCGTGGCAGCAGCCTGGAGGAGCTGCGCGAGTGGTGCCAGGAACGGACCGAGATGTGGCGAGCTGTCTCCATGTCTCCCATGCTTCTCTCCGTCGACGACGAAAGCGCCCCGATGGACGACCTGAAGCCCGAGTCTCTGGCCCTCTGGAGGCGCATGTGCTTTGCCCTGGCTCGTCAGGGTGGCTCGGATGACTACGAGCGTGCCGTATATGGCGTGCTGTCGGGCGACATCAGCAGCGTCGAGAAGATTGCCAGGAGGTGGGACGACTTCCTCTTTGCCAACTACAACGCCCTCTTGCGGACCCAGTTTGATACCTATTTGCTGAGCCGATGCCCGGCAGACGTCAGCTCAACGTTGACCCAGAACTTCTCCTCCTTCGACGCCGTGCAGTTTTTGGGGAAACCGCAGGGTGTTGAGAAGCGCATTGTCCGCTCGCTGGAGACGCAGGCCACTACCCACGACGAGGCGACGGAGCCTAGCAAAGCTCTGCAGGCCTCGCTCATAGCCAAGGACGTTGAGCGACACTTGTACGAGCAAGGACTGGTCATGACGGCGGATGCAAACGCAAATGGCAAATCCATACTTCTGCCGCCTTCCTCCCCCGAAGCCGCCGTCAATCTCTCCGTTCTGAAGAAGAAGTACTTTAGCCTGGACCAGCATGACGGACTTCGAATTGTGTCGCATGTCTATGTGCTCATCACGCTCATGAACAAGCTGCTGAACAAGACCGCCGCTGCCCAGAGAAACATCCCCAGCTCACAGTGGACGTTTGCCCAGGAGAGTATCCTGGCGGGATACACAGATTACTTGCGCCGTGCTGGGCTTCAGGAGCTTATCCCCCTGTATTGCTCAATACTGGAAGCACCCCGGCAGTACGACGTCCTGAGCTGGAACTTGATCCACGAAGAGGACCCCGAGCAGCGCTTACTACAGTTGAAGTTGATACGGAAGGCCGGCATCGACGTGCTGAAGTTTGTGGATAGGCAGGTGCTGCTCTTTTACGAGGCATTGGGTCAGAAGGCAGCTCAGCAAGCTCCGTTTAGCATCATCAGCGACGAACCGGCAGGGCCGCAGTTTGGAAAGCTCATCAAGGCCGACTTCTTTGGCTACGAGGAGGGCGCTGACCAGGACGACGACGACCATGTGATTCGCTCATTGGAGTGGCTGCTGATGGTGGACGGAAAGTGGGCAGATGTTTTTGCCATGGGGACAAAGGTGTACAAGTTCTTCTTGCGTACGTAAACCTTCACAGTCGCAGCTCGTTTCTGGGAATTTACGTGGCTGACATTTTTTTTTTTTTTTTTTCACAGGGAGCGGACGTCTTGGCTCTGCCCGAAAGCTGTCGGAAAAGATTATTTTCGAAAAGATTGTTCAGGGGATATCTGGTCAGGAAGAGACTGACGAGAGCTGGTATGAGGACGCGGACTTTTGGGCCAGACTGATGGAGCGCAGCGAAATATCCAACATGACTGCTGAGCAGGTGCTGGCCGAGGCACGAAATTTCCGCGGCCTCGAAACCCTCGTCCGTGCCTTGGATGATCTGGAGACGATTGCGTCGTTGATGATCCTCTCGACCGAGTATGTGACTTGCCGTTCCCGACCTATGGATGAGGGTTGACTGACATACTCTGGGATGTAGACTCTCGCATGGAGACCGCGACTTTTGGGGCCCGGCGGCCGACTCGTTCAGGAAGCTCAAGGAGGAGATGAAGCCCTTGCTAAAGGGATGGCTGATACCGGCGATCAAGGGTATGTTTGGCGTTATAATATGCTTGCCTGTATGGTTCCGCTAACAGAACTTTTGTTCCCATCATAGCGGGCGATGTCGAGATGCAAGAGATCCGGGCAGCCTACCTGCCCGAGACCATCCTGGCGTACATCAGCGCCCTCCACTTCGCCGGCACCGGCCTGTCGCGGGACAACCTGCTCGAGTGCATGGAGCTCGCGGCCAAGATTGCGGAGCGCGGCTCGGACCTCAAGGACGCCTTTGTCGACGCCAAGCGCATGACGGAGCTCGTCGAGGCGTTTGCGGCGTGCAGCAAGGCGCTGGCCGTTGCCACCGGGGACAAGAGGCCGTCTGGTGGGGCCGGCGGCGTCGGCAGCAGCAGCAAGAGGCTGCAGCGGGAGTCGGGATGGTCGAGGGACTTGTGGGCTGTGAAGACGCCCGCGGCGGCGGCTGGGGATGCGACGACTGCGTGAAAGTCTGGCCGGGGGG